TGACGGATGAAGGGCTTCTCAAACTTTAAACGCGTTTTTCTTCAAACATTGGTTTTGCACGGGCATGATAACTCATAAACTAATAACCCAATCGATTCCAAATTTTTACACGTTTCTCAGTGAGTGTATAGCTATCGTATGAACTAGGATAAAGCCAGTCGGTGAAGATCTTCCTTATTTATTAACTTGGTTTTTGTTCAAAAATCGGCTATTTTTTAAAAAAAAAATTTTCAAAGGTCCGCTATTTTGTTAATTTTAGAGCGAAGTCAATAATCCTAGTTCATACGAGAGCCAGACATGTACAAAGTTACAAACCTTAACAAGCATTGGTATTGGTATTGAAAATCTTGAAAAATTAAAATCGAGAATGAGTTCCCTTAAATCAATTGTTGGGGTTCTACGAAAAGGCGTGGATCTTTTCAAATCAATTTTTGGGGTACTACAAAGAGGCGTGGATTTCTTTAAACAATTTTTGAGGTACTACAAAGAGGCGTGGATTTCTTTAAACAATTTTTGGGGTACTACAAAGAGGCGTGGATTTCTTTAAATCGAAAAAAACATTTTTAAAAATACAGGCATCTAATTAATATTTTTCAAAAATAAAACTTTTATTAAATTATTTCAAACCTCTAAATAATATTTATAGGGTGATTCACTGCGATTCTCACCCCATCCCATGTTTAAAATATCTTTAGAATTGAATGCTAAGCTCCAAACGTATTACCTCATGCAATAGCGAGCAGGTCAGGCAAACGCCCATAGGACACACCTAAAACAAATAGATTTTCAAACGAACGAACACAAATGCCGTTTCTATTAAAAAAAACGCATGACATAAAAATACTGGGTTTTTTCTTATTTTTACGTGTATTCCACATACCTTCAGAGCCAACGCCTGTGAAACTAACACAAATTCCCCAAATGGGAAAGTCCTTCAGCAAGGATTTCATATAAACGACATATGTATGGGAGTGTGTGAAGGTATGTGTCGACAAACAAAAATCAAAGTCATAGCCATAGAAATAGAAATATAAATAAATAGCTGCTAATGGACTTTTCAAAAAAAAATATGACACGGCTTATTATGGGAGGGGAGAAGTGGTGGGAGACTGACAAGGAAGGAAGTATGGAAGGCAGGAATGTGAAACCAGGAAATGACCTCACACAACATGAGCAATGAATTTTTTGTATAAAGAATGTGAGTTGAATATTCTAGGTTTCATATTAAATTGATGAAAATAGGTACCTGGGTCCCAACATTCGGAACCAAAGTCCGATACCTCATTAGCACTTAATTTTTTATTAAGAAGTCCTTTAAAATTCCCACAATGCTTTGGAGTGGCTTCATGAATTTCCCCCAAAATACAACCTTAGCGAAACACACACATGAACCCTTATGCCGATAAGGACCCTAAGGATAACAACTAATTCGAAAAAAAAAATAAATGACGTAATTACCTACCTTCAATGTTGTTGTATCCTAAAGTCCACTCATATTATTATGGACATAATTTGCTATTCTTTTGTATCTTTCATTCCCATCATCATCATCATCATATTTGTCGTCTTCATCTGAACCATAAATGTCTATCGTCGTTGTCTATAATGATGATGAGGATGATTCTGATGCACCACCACCATCCATTATTGGTCTTGACTTTGTAGCATCATTGACCTTTGACGTTGAAGAGGAAAGTCATGATAAAGAGCCCACCACCATTCAGCCAACAGTCGTCCATTATCATGACCAACATCAATGCTGCCTACAAAGGAAGAAGAAAAAAGATAGTAACCAAGAGAAGGGTTAGAAAAAATATCGCAAAAAGAAAAATCATGGCTTATTTACGAATCAAATGTGGGAAGTAAGAAATAAACGGCTTTTAAACAATTTGTTTTCTATTTTATTTTCTTTTCCCCTTTTTTTGCTGGAAAATAAACAATTTTTGTAATGGTGACATCATCATCATTGCCATGCTGATGGCTGTCATTAAAATGAAAACTAAGGGCTATGGCGGCATGATTTGGAAGGAGGTATGGGGGATGTAGTAAAAATCCCCCCCAACATCACACCAAATCCACTATTAATAACAGAACATTTGTATATTTAGTGTGGTAATGAGGCATTCAGAGAATGACAATGAAATTTAATGACCGAAAATTAATCGATAATTCATTTTTCTTTTCGAATAGTTATCGATAATAACATTTATTCATTAATTGTCAATATTGCATTTTAACTGTGGAAAAGTATTCTATAAAGGAACATTTCTATAAATGTAATCGAAACCCATTTTACTCGATAACAAAGTTATCGATAACATATATAATTTATCAATAACACATTTTCCCTCTGGAAAATTTATTTAACATTTTGATAAAAAAATTTCTCTATGGAAAGTCTGACAATAACAACTTTTTCTTAATAAAAATAGGCGATGACAATTTTTTCTAAAGAACAATTTTCGATAAACATTTTTCACTTAAGAAAAATGATTAGTAATTATTTTTCTCTGGAGAAAACTTGCCAACAACAACGTCTATCTATAAGAAAATCAATCAATTCCAATTTGTCTATTAAAATCTTGTAGTTAACAGATATTTTTCTTTTGAAAAATTATCGATAACTACAGTTTTTTATTAAAACGTTTATTATCAATATCCTTTTTATTGAAACGTTTATTATCAATATATTTTCTATGAAAATATTTTTCGATAGTAAATGTAAATGTCGATAACGAGAAAAAGGGGTACCGATAACAATATAACGACTTTATATTATAGAAAAGTAATCGCTAACACCTTTTGTCTATAGGAGTGTTATCGATAATACATTTTTTTAAGAGTTGTCGATGAAGACTTTGTATTATAGAAAAGAAATCGAAAACAACTTTTGTCTATAGAAAAGTTATTGAAAAAAAATTTTCTCTTGAAAAAATATCAACAACTATATTTATCTACAGTTAATGTTATCGATAACTACAATTTCATGCAGAAAATTTATTCCACCCGCAAGATGTCAACAACATTAGAAATGGTAGGGTAAAAAATGTTTCCTTTGGAAAAGTTATCGATAACAACTATTTTCCATAGAAAGTGAATCGGTAACAACTTCTTACAATAGAAAATTATCTATAACGTTCCATATAGAAAAGTAGTCAATAACAACTTTTGTCTCTAGAAATGTTATCGATAACGACCTTTCTCTATAAAATAGTTATCGATAACAATTAGTTTCTACAGAAAATTTATCGACAATAAATGCCCCCAGCCACAAGAGTAACCGGTAAGAATTTTTTTCCTATAGAGAATTGTATCGATTGTTTTTATTTGCTTACTGATATCTTAATTTTCTTTTTTTCTGTACAATTTATCGATTATTTTTCGCAACAACAAGATGTCGGTATGAAATTTTTTCTATAGAATCATTAACGATTTTTCTAAATATAAAAATAGTCGATAACAACTGCTATATATAGACAATTTATCGATAAAATCGATAAGATTTTTTTATTTTCCTAAATACTAAATATCTTAATTTTATGAAAGAAAAGTTATCGATAACAACTTTTTTTCTATAGAATTTATCGATTATAATTTTTCACAACGACCAGATGCCGGTATTTACTTTTTCTATAAAATTGATAATCGATAACCACTTTTTTAAATATATATAGGCTAAATGTAGGCATATACAATTTATCGAATTTATCGATAACAATTTATTATATAGGAAAAGTATGGATAATATATTTTTGCTAAAATAAAGTTATTGACGACATTTTTCTTTTCCTAATTATTCGATATCTTAATTTTTTAAAAGAAATGTTATCGATAACAATTACTTTTTATTCCTTAATGTATAGACAATTTATCGATAAGAAGTTTTTAATTAGAAAACTTATCGATAATATATTTTCGCTATAGAAAAAGCATCGATAACATTTTAAAAAATGTTATCGATAATGAATTTTCCCTTCCGAAAAATTTTCAAATTTTAATTTTTTCACTAATCGATAGCTAGACCTATACAAAAAACAACATTTACTAAATATTGTTATCGATAAGAAAATTTATATCTGGAAAAGTTATCGATAATTTCTTTTTTGTCGATAATAAATTAATTTCATATACTATTTTAGATAACTTTTATTTTATAAAAATTACAGATAAAGAGTAATCGTTATAGAAAAGGTATTGATAGCTAGTAGTCTCTATATACAGACTATTTATCGATAAGTCCCTCAAAGCTTGAATATCTCTAATTTATTGTTAAGTTCTCTCTATATATAATTATTTAACATTTGTTTTTTGAAGAAATTTTATCGATAACTATTTTCTCGTTATAGAAAACATTCGGTTCAACATTTTTTCTCCATAGAAAAAGTAGTAACCTTTTTTTTCGGTAATAATTTCTCTACAGGAAAATAATTGTCAACTAATTTTTTTCTATAGAAAAAAATTTTTAATAATTTTTTAGAAATGAAATTGTCAACGAATTTTTAACTGTAGAGAAAAATGTTTCTATAGAAAAAAATTCGTTGACAGTCAATTCAATTCGTTTTCTATAGAAAAAATTTCGGTGACAATTTCTTTCTATTGAAAAAAAAAAATTGTTGACAATTTGTATCGCTATACAAAAATGTTCGTTGACATTTTTTTTGGCAATTTATTGATATTTTTTTTTGCTATAGAAAAAAATCGTTGACAATTTTTTCTCTACAGAAAAAGATTAGTAAACAATTTTTTCTCTATATATAAAAAAATAGGTAACAATTTTTCTCTCTATCGAAAAATCGGTGACTCCTTTTTCTATGAAAACAAAATTCGGTAACAATGTTTTCTATGGAAAAATTTTAATTTTGTTCCCAAAATGTCCCAATTCCTTTCACATATTTAATTGACGTTAATCACATTTCCCCTGACTTTTAATCTCCTTTGATTCAATCGTAACAACTACAACAAGCTTCATTTTAATACCACCCATCATCCTCTACTTTCAGATATGCCGCCTATTATTGGAAAGTGTCACGTGAGGGCCGGCGCTGCTACATGGACTACTACTACACGGAGCATAGCAAACAAATGTACGGCGTACCGTTGGGTGGTATTGGTGGCGGTACCATTGGTCGAGGTTATGCCGGAGAATTTTGTCGCTTTCAAATGCGTCCGGGCATGTATGAATACAATACCGTGCAGGCTAATCAATTTATTGTGACCATCAAGGATGTGAAGGGTGAAACGATTTATCAGAGTTTGCTGTCAAAGAGGTATGTTTTGAATATAAAAAATCCTTGTATGTCACAAAATTGTTGTTATGTTTGTTATGGCGTTTTGACACTTGTTGCTATGTGTGTGTATAATGTGTTTATATGTGTGCGTGCAATTGCATTTTGTAAACTAGAAATGCTGCTGTTGAGTGCTTTATTATGTCAAATGTCCTTTGTTGTGACCTCTCACCCCTAAACCACCTCGTTCCCCTCCTCCTCCTCATCCTGGTAAACTTCTCTACATTCTATGTCATTCATTTAGTCCTGTTTATGTTTTGTTTTTCGTTGCTAGCTATTCATAGTTTATTTATAGGTCATCATATCCTCTCAGACCACTACCTATTCCGCATGGCATTTATGCCATGCCGCGTTGCCTTTCATTCGATGTAATTTGATTTGAATGTAAATTTGTCCGTTGTTAGGAACAAGCCTTTCACATTCATATCCCCTCGAGGGAGTGAGGGAGATATGCATGTCGCTTGAAAATGGCTCGATTGTTTCCCAAAGCCCCGCCACCTCCATCCGCAAACATCTACATAGTTCTGTTGTGCTTTTTTCTTTTGTGAATTCCTTTTGTAATAATTTTTTGTTCCTCATTTTTTTTTTCGTTTCCTTTGAGTTCATAATTTTCTGATTTGTAAATGTTTTTGCGTACCGAAATGTAAGTCCCTCCCGAATAAAAAAAACTAACACAAAAAATATGATGTAATCTATTCAAATATAAAGTCGGTTTTTTGTACAAATTCTTCACATTTTTTACATATGTACATATATATGTATATAAATTATTATGTCAAAATATGTTCATGCTATTCTCGAATGTGATGACACAATACGCCAGTTTTGAAGGTAGGTCAGGAAACACTTTTTCTACATACCAAAAATTATCTCAGTAAAAAAACTCCATCAAACCCCTGAGGATTTTTTCCTCAGGTCCCCCGAGGAAGACATTTTACTATAGAAAATAATTCCTCAGGTCCCCTGAGGATGACTTTTTTCTATAGAAAAAAATCTTCAGGACTCCTGAGGATATTTTTTTTCTATAAAAAAATTCATCAGGTCCCCTGAGGATGACTTTTTTCTATGGAAAAAAATCCCTTGAGGATGACTTTTTTCTACAGAAAAAAATTCCTCAGGTACCCTGAGGATGCCTTTTTTCTATAGAAAAAAAATTCCTCAGGTCCCCTGAGGTTGACTTTTTTCTATAGAAAAAAATGCTCAGGTCCCCCGAGGATGACTTTTTTCTATAGAAAAAAATTCCTCAGGTCCCCTGAGGATGACTTTTTTCTATAGAAAAAATAATACCTCAGGTCACCTGAGGATGACTTTTTTCTATAGAAAAAATAATACCTCAGGTCACCTGAGGATGACTTTTTTCTATTAAAAAAAATAATACCTCAAGTCCCCTGAGGATGATTTTTTCTAAAGAAAAAATAATACCTCATCCTCAGGGGACCTGAGATTCCTCAGGATTATTTATCTATAGAAAAAATTCCTCAGGACCCCTGAGGATTATTTATCTATTAAAAAAAAATTCGTCAGGACTCCTGTGGATTATTATTCTATAGAAAAAATTCCTCAGGACGCCTGAGGATAATTTTTTTATAGACAAAAATTCCTCAGGACCACTGAGGATTATGTTTTCTATAAAAAAATGCCTCAGACTCCTGAGTTTTATTTTTTTTTTTTTTCTTAACAAAAAATATTTTTTTTCTGGTTGCCAAGGAAAAAATTAAAAATCTCAATTTCTAAATCTCCTAAAAAGTTATCCAAACTTTGCATGTCTAATGTAATAAATATATACGGAAATGTCAACATGAATGAATATATCAAAATACCCATCACGCTATCCACCCCTAACTCCTTAACAAAGTCATCATCAATCTAATAAAGTCGTGGAATTAACAAGCTAAGCTAACTAGGCCCTCTTGCCCTGCCGAAAAGCTGTTAATCGCAGAAACAAATAAAATATCCCCACCTCTCTCAGTTACTAATCTTCGAACTACAAAACACACATTTGATGGCTAAATGGTTGGTGTCTAGACTAAAAAAAAATAATAAACTAACAATTATGGTTGCAGGTCTAATGGAGGATCTCCTTCATTGTCTTGGCAACCTATGATTCGTTGAAGAGATTTTTTAATTAAAAATTTTATTTTTTCTTGAATTCTTTTTTCTTTCCCTTTTCTTTTAAATCATCACCAAACTACAACAACAATACACTTTTGATGCACTCGCACACATTTTGTTGTAATTTCATAAAATTGGTTTGAAAATTCTATGATTTTACAACAACAAATTCGGATACACTGTGGCTTCTTGAATTCACCTGATTTTTGGGTTTGTTTTTGGATCAACTCTTTGTTATTGCTTTTTCAATAAATTTTCAAAAAAAAAAAATAATCAAATTCCGAATTTTGATCGTAGTCGTAATAATCTCAAAAATCCCTGTAATTTCAAATATTGCAGTTCGAATCGTCCCAAACAGCCTCTAGGCAGCTGGCAATCAAATTTAGATGAATCCCAGTGCTACTACACAGGTTTGTATCCCCGCTCCTGGACCGAATATGATCTCTCGAAGTATGGCATACGTTTGGTATGTCGTCAAATATCTCCGGTTATACCACATGATTACAAAGAATCCAGTTTACCCTGTGCCGTGTTTATATGGTCCGTGGAGAATGTCGGGGAGGAGGAAAGGACCGTCTCCATTGCATTTACCTTTAAAAATGGCACGGGCAATAAGAAACAGGATGCTGAGGGTAATGCCACCTCCACGCTATTTTCGGAGGGTAATGCCAAGGGTGTTACCATTAATCAGGTTATAGCTGAAATGCCCTGCTCCTATAATTTGGCATGTCGTGTATTGCCCGAGATCAACATTACGCGTTGCACGAAATTTGATCCTTGCGGTAGTGGAGAACATTTGTGGCAGCAGTTAAAGGAGCAGGGGCAATTGAATGATGCGGCTGCGGATGAAACTTTGAAATGTAAGTCATAATTTTTCAATACCTCAATCCAATCCTTCTCATAAAAAAATGCTTTCCATTCCACCCCCTAGCCAACGATTTGGGTGTGGCCATATGTGCCCGAGTGGCCTTGAAACCCAAATCCAACCACGATTTAGAATTTTCATTGGCCTGGGATATGCCAACCATACACTTCCCCAAAAAGCTTAAGGCCCACACCCGTTACTATACGAAATATTTCAGTGCCAATGGGGAGAGTGGCCCGAAAATTTGTGAATATGCTTTGAAAAATTACGGCAATTGGGAAAAGCTTATCGATAATTGGCAAAGGCCCATCTTGAATGATGAGTAAGCTTGCGAAGTTATTTAAGGGAATGATTTTTGGAATTAATAAAAAAATCTATTTCATTTTGTAGAGGACTTCCAGATTGGTATAAGAGCGCCATATTTAATCAGCTTTATTATATATCGGATGGCGGTACCCTGTGGCTGCTGTGTGATTCCTCATTGGGTCAGGAATTGGAATATAATGATCCAAGGTAAGTTTTTTCATAATTTTTGATTAATATTGTTATCGATAATTTTGAATCGAATTTCATCCATTTCAGAATTGCCTATGGTCGCTTTGGCTATCTGGAAGGTCATGAATATCGCATGTATAACACCTATGATGTCCACTTTTATGCTTCTCCGGCCATTGCCCATCTATGGCCTAATCTACAGGTAAGCTATGAAAAAAATATTTCCCAAAAAATAAAACTAACCTCAAAATCTTTCCCTTTCAGGTGAGCCTCCAATATGATTTCAAGGATGCCATTGCGGCGAATCTTACAGATACCCGTAAAATGCTGTACGATGGCAAAATAATGCCACGTAAAGTGAAAAATTGTGTACCCCATGATTTGGGTGACCCGGATGAGGAACCATTTACCCTGATCAATTGTTATAATATACATGATGTTAATGATTGGAAAGATTTGAATACGAAATTCGTGTTACAAGTCTATCGAGATTATTATGTCTTGAATGAGTTGGCTCAGGCTCAGGCGGATAATGCAAGTAAATTTAGTTCGATTGAATTTATCGATAAGGATAGTTTGTATGAAATGTATACGCAGGATAATAAGAGGAAAAATTCCGTGGAGGAGAAGAAGGGTGAGGCAAAATCTACTACATAATTAGCAAATAAAAATGTATTTGTTTTTGATTTCAGAAAATCGCAAATCCGCTTCTATGTATATAAATGAAACCAATGGCAGGGTATATTTGATGGATGCCATGACCTATCTTAAGGCCATGTATCCCTCATGCAAGGCCATTATGGAAAGGACAATTGAATATGATAGGGATAATGATGGTCTAATTGAGAATACCAAAATGCCCGATCAAACCTATGATTCGTGGGTTATGGAGGGGCCAAGGTAAGAGATAAAAAACTTTCTATTTTCTGATTTATTTCTAAGTTGTGTTTTTTCTTCCTTGTAGTGCTTATTGTTCGGGTTTGTGGTTGGCTGCCCTGCAAAGCATGTCGGTAATGGCCACAATTTTGGATCAACCCAATGACTGTATACGTTATCAAGATATTTTGGAAAAGGGTAAAAAGTCCTTGGATGAGAAGTTATGGAATGGCAGCTATTATCGTTTTGATACCTGTGCAAGCCACAAGGATACCATTATGGCAGATCAGCTGTGTGGCCATTGGTATTTGAAGACATGTGGTTTTGATTATGAAGTAAGGTTTGAATTTAAAATATTCGAATTTCGAACTAATCGTGTGTTGATCGTTTGTGGATTTTTGCAGATCTATCCCAAAGAAAATGTCCGCTCCGCGTTGAAGGAAATCTACAAAAACAATGTCATGGGTTTCCATAATGGCAATATTGGTGCTGCTAATGGTTTCATTGCCAATCCGGACAGCGAAAAACCTGGCCATGTGGATACCAGCAGCATACAAGCAGAAGAGGTGTGGCCTGGGGTTACATTTGCCCTGGCTGCCACCATGATCCAGGAGGGTATGTTCGAGGAGGGTTTCAAAACTGCCGGAGGGCTTTATGAGACAATTTCCGAGAAGTGTGGCATGAATTTTGAAACTCCTGAGGCATTTTATGGTGAAAAACGTTATCGTTCGATTGGCTACATGCGGCCCTTGAGTATTTGGTCTATGCAGGTGGCCTGGGAAAGGCGTAAGGCCTTGAGGGATTAAGGGGCTTGAAAAAGAAAGGAAAATGGAAAAGCTTTTTTATTTATGGATAAAGGCAACTTTAAGGTGCATTCATACACACACACACACAAACAAAGTACAATTTTGTTTTAGGAATTATTTAACGGTTTTTTATTCTTCTCCTTTTTCTCCTATACCACGAAAATGAATGGAAAGAGAAAAGGGGCAAACCAAAGATGTAATGAAAAGAGCTTTGTAATAATGTATTTTGTAATTTGCATTAAAAAGACAGGGCACAAATCGAATAGAATTTAAGCGAAAATGTTGTTGATTTCTTTTTTCACCTACACACAAGAGTGCTTTACCATTTAGTCCTTAACATTGTATTCAGATTTTTTAGTTAATAAGTTAATTTATATAAAAAATGTATTAGAAATTTAATTATATTCCATAGGGCGCAACTTCACTGCCTTAAGACAAAACAGAAACCATGAAAATGCATGCCACAAATGCTATAAAACAAATTTACGAAAGGTTAAGAAAGGTGCCTGAAACTCAAGAGATCAATTACTCTATAGGCAAGCATGGTCCCCGATCAGGTCATGTGTTAGGAAAAATAAAAATAATTGTGAAAAAGGCCTCTTGAGGCTGAAGGAAATTTGGAGAGGAAAAAATTGGACACCTTGATGAAGAAAATTATTGGAGATGGAATAATAAAAAATATTCGGCCTCAAAGGAATTATGCAAGGAAGTGGTTCATGGGCATATTTCCATTAGATTTTGTTAAAGGAGTACTTCTTAACCTAACCTAAAAAAAACTGTCTCTTTCCTCTATAGACTGAATTCATTCATTATTTTCATGTTAATTCACAAATGTTTTAATTTATTATTATTAATAAAATTATTAAAAATTTTATTATTATTAAATTTATTTTTATTAAATTTATTATTATTAAAATTATTATTATTTTTTGTCGTTTTTTTAATTTTGTCCATTGTTTTAGTCATAATTTCTATAGCCTCCAAGGAGCTTCGAACAGAGAACAGATGCCTATATTTATATGTATGTGAATGTGTATATTGTTTTGAAATGTTATAGCGCGCAAATCCACATATATAATAAATGTTATTAATAATTGCGTACTTATTTTTAATTGATGTTAAAAATTTTCAGTCAATCAATCAAAACAGAAAAAAAATAAAATAAAATGGAGGCGATATATACACAAACTATATATTATTATTATAAAACTTATATTTATTATAAACAAAAACAAATTATATATATTTATGGAATAAAAAAAAAACTTTAATCGAAAAAAATAATTGGTTTAATTTTTATACCCTACACAACTATGTTGTCAGGGTATTATATCGTTGTGCAGACCCAAGAGTTTGTAACGCCGCGAAATATTGGTCTTAGACCCACCTTTAAGTATACCGATCATCATATCTCGACTAACTGAGTCGATCTCCGTTCGTCCGCCCGCCTGTCCATTATAATTTGTAAACACGATAGAGGCTACAGTTATGGACCAATCGTCACGAAATTTTGCATGTAGGATGGGTTCTGGCCAATGAAGACCCCTATTGTTTTTGGTAAAGATCGGTTAATATTTAGGGGATGAAATGGACCAAAAACTTTATTTTTGTCTAATCTTCTTGTCGCTCCAGATACCGCAATTATGGCCCAAACATCGCGATTTTTTACATGGAAAAGGGCATCGGGTCCCCCTAAAGGCATAGACCCAAGAAGTTGATAGTATGTCCAAAAGGAGTGGTTGACCTTTAAATTGATACCAATTATATTATTGTATTTACTCGGATGTGGGAGATACACTTAAATATTTACAGGTGCTTACGTATTCATATATTATTTAGTAACTCATTACCACACTAGAGGGCGGAAATATAGCACTGATCGCTTTGAAATTTTCTATGAGGATCCTGGTACGGCCAAGAAGAACGCCTATAATTATCGGTGATAATTATATTGGGATGAAGTGGACCGAAAACTACTTTTTTTCGAGTCGATCTATAGGCCACAGTTGAAAGCCGAACATAACGACACAACCCACGGATCTGAACATGTAATTAGAAGGGCTGTACTGAATTTTAGTAATATTTGTTGACCTCCAGTTGATCAAGAGTATGCGAATATCGCGAAATATTGCCAAAGTTCAGAATGTAGTACCGCAGAAAGTTAGATTTTCGTGGAGGTTGTGTAGGGTATCATATGGTCGGCCCCGTCCGACTATTCTGCTCCGCTCACTGGTTTAAAGAATATTTTTCAAGCATTCACACAAGGCGTGGATTTTTTAAAGAATGATCGGAACCCTTTATAGAGACTATGGCAAAAAAAATAGGTGAAAACGATACTATGTTCGTCCTACACACCAGTTCTGACCGCAAAAGAAATCGAGCTCTATACAAAATTTGGTGTAAATTTTTACTCTTTGTACACTTGTAAAATTTCCCAAATTTCAAATATTGGGGTTCACCCAAATCCAAACTAAGTACCACTTAGAAAACATTAATATAAATTGCCATTACTACCTACTTTAACAATCACACATACACATCTTAATTCCAAATTTCAGGATTCTATTGATTCACCTAAATCCAATTTGTTTCAAATTTAGTACCATTTATTACACATAAGTACAAATTTCCATTACTACCTACATCATACAATTCAATGGAAATCTCATTACTCAATTTCAGGATTCCAACTCTATCGGTTAGCTTTTAATCCAAATTTTACCAAATTTAGAACACATTAGTAGATATATAGTATTAGCCCAATACTACACCCCACAACAACAGTGACCCTAACTTCAAATTTCAAGCTTCTAGATATATCGGTTCACTCAAATCGTTATTTGGTACCATTTTGTACACATTAGTACAAATTTCCAAACCTTTCCACACATCCCAATCCAACACCCCAACTGTAACATTATCTCCAAATTTCAAGATTACAGCTGAATTGGTTCACTCAAAATTTAAATTGTACAAAATTTTGTACACATTAGTACGCATTTCCAGAACTATCAACAAAGCCCAATCCTACACTCCAACAGTGATCCTAATATTAAATTTCAAGATTCAAGCTCTATCGGTTCACCCGAATCCAAATTTGTTACCATTTAGTACACATTTGTACGAATTTACAAAGTTTTCACATAGCTCAATACTGCATCCAAACAAAGATCTTAACTCCAAATTTCAGGATCCCAGCTCATCAGTTCACCCCAAAATTCAAATTGTACCAAATTTAGTACAATTTAGTACCCATACATATATATTTGTAAAACTGCATCCATACTCTAATCTTACACTCCAACTGTAACCTTATTTCCAAATTTCATATTTTACATAGCCTAATCCTACATCCCAACAGTAACTTTAACTTCAAATTTCAGGATTCCAGCTGTATTGGTTCATCCAAAATTTAATTTATACCAAATTTAATACACATTAGTACGAATTTCCAAGACTTCCTGCAAAGCCCAATCCTATACGCCAACAGTGATCCTACTATCAAATTTCAAGATTTCAGCTCCATCGGTTCACCCAAATCCAAATTTGGTACAATTTAGTACACATTAGTACGAATTTCCAATACTTTCTCCATAGCCCAATCTTACACCCCAACAATGATCCTAACTCCAAATTTCAGGATCAGTGCTTTATCTAAATTTCTGCTTAATCGATTCACCCAAACCCGCATTTGGTACTATTTAATACAAATTTCCAAAAAAACGTTTCCAAAATCACCAATATACCGAATTTTGTGGGGTACCCTTATATGGGGGCTATCCTGAAACTGGGGTCAATATTAATAATTTTTGGTACGGAGATGTGTTACACATTGAGAACCCAAAATACCAAATTACAGCCAATTCGGTTGAAAAACGAGTCCAAAATCCTTACAAAACCAAATTTTGGGCGGACCGTTAAATGGGGGCTACCCTGAAACTTTGGTCAATTTTAGTACGGGTACGCACATTATACAATGAGAACCCATTATACCAAATTACAGCCTATTTGGGTGAAATACGTATCCAAAATACCGAACATTGGGGGTACTTTTATAAGGGGGCTACACCAAAACCTGGACCGATAGGTTATCTAGCACACGAAAATTATTGAGTGTACATATATTTGTTTCAGATTTTTTTTAACTTATTAATACAGGTACAAAAAGAAAACATAACAAAACTTCTTCAGCTGTTAAACAAAAAAACTAAAATAAAATTCATTTCCATATCAGCTAAGCCAGCCAGCTCCACCCTCCTTCCTCATTTATGAACCCTTATTCATCTTAACAACTTGTATATAACCATTACGATAATATATTGATTCCTCATCGCCAGTATACCATTGTCTCAGGGGACGTAAATCACGATAGGGATTTTTCGCCACCTTAAATACCCGTTCCAAATCAATTTTCATTTGTTGAATTTTCACAATGGAATCTAAGATGGCATAATCAAATTGTGATTCCTGTCGGGTGAATGAGGTAAACATTATAGGGCAATCATAGTGTAACATTTCTGCAATTGCATCTGACCAGGTATCCTTTTTATATTTGACAGATTCTGCCATGGGGGTTTCAAATTGTGGTAGATTATTATAACGTCTTGAGAATTCCGAGAAACCACAATTGAAGACAGCCAATATGATGGGTTGAACTTTGCACAGACGACAGTAATCCTGGAACAGACCCTTAAAGCAATGATATTTGGCATTTCTTTGTTTGCCCTTTAAATAATAAGAAGGAAGAGGGGGTTCTTAATTATCTCGTTCGTTTGTTGTTGTTCGGAATACCTACCAAATATTCAAATTGTAGAATATTATCCTGCACCTGCATCGTTTCCGGTCCTATGAAATGTAACTCCAAATTTGTAATTTCCTCAAATTGCCGGAAAAAGAATTTCAAATGGATTTCGCGAAACCATAGCACCGGCTCAAACGACGATCCAATAATAAATATATGTAGGCTCGTATCAGCATATGAGGACATATCCAAGTGAGACAAGGTATAACACAGTGAGGCTATGCAACTAAAATCTGCAGCATAGGAAAATAACTGATAGTCTTGTAGAGATTTTGTGGGATCCCGAGGCAATTTACATTGAAATGATTTTTCAAACACAGCAAAAAGATCTGATTTTTGAAAATTCTCCACTTTCTGTTTTATCTCCAATTGTAACTCCTTTCCGATAATTGTTTTATAGGGTGTATAGTATAGTTTTAGTGAACCACACACCTTGGAATGTTCCTCTTTATGCTGGTGCAAATGTCCCTCCGAACAATAGACTTGATTTTGACAAGATGGACATAAAATTTTCAGATTTTTGAAACTGAAACATATTGGACAATATATGGGAAATGAGGTTAATTCCTCCTCATGATATTGTAGAGGTCTCTCCAAAGCATTTCTTAGCAAATATTTTAATTGTATGATGGTTTTTTCCATATCATCTTTGGATTTGGGATTCGTTCCTGACACCCTTAAGGGGTGTGAAATATTCAGAGTTTTCTTTATCGCCTGTATGGCTTGACAAAATTCTCGATGTATGGCCCAATCTAAGGTTTGATGTTTTCGATTACAATAGCGAACCATTTGACAACCGGAACAGTTTAAAAGTTGTGTGTATTTTTGAGGATTCGCGTCATTGTGTGTCTCGACTTCTTCGTGGGCTTGTAACATCAGGCAGACATTACAGTGTAGAGAGGAACATAATTCTTGGGCCATTTTTGGGCGGAGGAATGGGTTTGTGACACTTTTTTTGGTTCTCCTCCGTCAACTAGTGTCTTACTACTCCTTCGGTCAATTTTCCACACAATCTTCCTTGGTAGTAATGGGTTGTCTCCTGTCAATTGGTTGTTGGGTCTTCTACCGATAATTGGTGTCTCAGTTTTACTTGAAGTGCTCCTCGTGTTGGCGTCTTGTTTACTGAGGTTAAAGGGTTCCCATCTATGTTTTTGAAAATTCTCCCAAATATTGATATCGAAATTTGTTCTTTGGGGTACTGGTTACAGTTTTCCTTGAAATTAATGGATTGCCTCCGTAAAATACTGGTCCATTTTTCGATTAATTTTTCAGATTTTAGTTTTCAACCGATAATTGGGGTCTCAGTTTTACTTGAAGTGCTCCCAAAACTGAGGTTATAGGGTTCTGCTTCTGGCAAGTGTTTCTCTTCAGCTATGTTCTTGATAATTCTCCCAAGTACTGATATCACAATTTTCCTTAAGGATACTGGAATCAGTTTTCCCGAAGGTAACTAAATTTCTTCCAAGAAATTCGCTTTTCTTTTTTATTAAAATTTCAGATCTTTACCCGGCATTTGGCGTCTTTTTTTGTTTTTTGTGGTCACCTGTGCATTGTTAGTTTCATTCAAATCAAAAACAAACATGCCAGCTGATGGTGAGGTACACTATTGTGAGTGATTCTTTTTTCACAAGCCGGCAATTTGTCTCTTCTTTTTTGATAAATTGAACTACGCACTATGAACACAACAACACTAAAAGAAACACTCAAGACCCGTACCATTTTTTTTTTTTTTTGGATTCAGGATTTATTATATCCTTTCAGAAATATAAGAAATAAGTCTAGCCTTAAACAACACTATTTGGTACTTACATGACTGTTACATGCTCAATCTTGTTGACTGTTTTCCCATTCTTAGATTTCAACACTTTTTCTTTGTATTATTAGATATTTTTCAATTAATTTTGACACTAAACGACTTGATAACAACACGCACAACAACAACAATTATAATTCAAATCGAAATGTCATTATTTTAATTAATTAATTTTATTAAATTCCGATTCCAATTAGAAAACTTCCATTCACTACAGAAAATATATCACAACTACTGAGAAAAGGCGCGTAGTTTCATTGACAATGAGAGAGAGTGACAGAGAGAGCTATTCACAACAAAGTAATTACCATTGTGAATGAGCAAAAACAGCTGATCAGCTGTTAGTTCAATTTGAATTGATATGACAGAGATGGCAAACAATCGATAAAGGTTTTTTTTTCATTATTTTTTTAATAAAATTTTATTTTTTTTTTCAATATAATTAATTATAATTATTATATAAAAATATATTTATAATTAAAAAGAGGAAAGAATATGTTTCATTTATCGCCAATATCTTTTCACAAAAAATCTTATCATATTTTCCAGAACAAAACAGCTGATCAGCTGTTAATTCAACATGAATTGATTCAGGAGAGATGGCAAATTAACGATAAAGGTTTATTTTTAATCTTTTCAATATAATTATAATTAAAAATATATTAATAATAAACAATAGGGAAGTATATGTTTCATTTATCGCTTATATTTTTTTTCCTAAAATCTCATAATTTTTTCGAGAGGTATTTGAAAGCATTAGCATTTAAAACCTCAAATCGATAACTATTTTTAAAAATATCGATATTACCGATTGTATTTGCCATCTCTAATTTGAATTATTACAAAGTTTATTTGTTTTGGAAAAATCGGTGTGTGCGAACAGTAGAGTTGGGCAATCTAGTTCACGTAGCGGATCGATCATTCTCGCTTCTTTTTTAAAAAGGAACTAGTTCCTTAATGTAGTTCCTTTGAACTATGTAATTACTTCATAATTAAGAGTCGAACCACGAATGAGAGAGGGAACAACGCTCGTCTGTACATGGCATTAGACTTTTCAATACAAAAAGTCGATTAATCGAAAGTCGATTTACTTATCCCTAATCATAATTTGCCTAAACCTCATTCGTAAACAACACGGTTTCCATTTAGTCTCTATCCCACCTCATTCGTAAACTTTCGGTTATACCATTTTGAGTTCATCTTTATCGGCCATTTTGTCTTCTCCTCCCATTCGTTAGCAGGTGGAACGTTTTTCAATTTTTTCAGTCGTCGTTTTTATTTTATTTATTTTAGCTCCGTTCCAAAACCTAAAAGAATCTACTAATTTTACAAGTTCTGCGTTCCGTTCCTGAACCCATAAAACTGGTAAAGCATTGAATCAAATTTAAGAGAGCACAAAACAAAATGGCTTTCTCTTTGTAAACTTTTTGTTATGTTGATTTTGAAGTATTGCCATCTAATTTTGGCATATTTACTAGATTTGCGTTCCCGAACTTTTCAAATTATTTTGTACTCTGAGACTTGAAATGTTTCCCTTTTATTAGCTTTACTATTAAACAAGTGAAAAAGCGTTAAGTTCGGCCGGGCCGAACTTTGGATACCCTCCACCACAGGTATACTGACAGGTATTTGAAATGAAAAAGTGGACCGATATTTATAATTTTAAATAGAGATATTTGGTACCCAATATGAACCCACTGTACCAAATTTCAGCGAATTCGGTTGAAAATCGCGCTTAAGAACCTCAAAATACCGAAAATTTGGGGTGCCCTTATATGGGGGCTACCAGAAAAAGTGGGCCGATATTTATAATTTTTAGTAGAGATATTTGGTACGCAATATGAACCCAATGTACAAAATTGCAGCGAATTCGGTTGAAAAGCGCGCTCAAGAACCCCAAAATACCGAAATTGGGGGGTACCCTTATATGGGGGATATCCGAAAAAATTGACCTATATTTAAATTTTTTTGTGGAGAGATTTGGTACCTGCTAAGAACTCAAAATACTAAATTACAGCCAATTCGGTGAAAAATACGATAAAAACCCAAAAAATACTGAAAATTAGGAGGTACCGTTATATGGGGGCTACAAGAAAAAGTGGACCTATATTTATAATTTTTTGTGGATACATTCACTACAAATTCGCTTGAAAAACGCGCTCAAGAACCCCAAAATACCGAAAATTGGGGGGTACCCTTATATGGGAGCTATGCCTAAACGTGGACCGATATATCCCATCTTCGAACTTGACCTGCCTGCAGACAAAAGACAACCCTATGCAAAATTTCAGCACCCTATCTCAATTCCTTCAGAAGATAGCGTGATTACAACAGACGGACGGACATGGCTAGATCGTCTTAGAATTTTACCCTGATCAAGAATATATATACTTTATAGGGTCGGAAATGAATATTTCGATGAGTTACAAACGGAATGACAAAATTAATATACCCTCCATACTATGGTGGAGGGTATAAAAAGTACTGGAACAAACCATTTGTTGGCGAAGGTTTGCGTACGACGTCGCTTGAGTCTTGGCAGAACGACGATTAACAAGCGAATTTTATGAAGGCTGGAGTCTTGGAGGCTTCCCACTGTTCTTTTGAATCTCTCTCTCTCTCTTTTATTATTTTTTTTTTTTCGTTTTTCCATATATAGTTCCTTTGCTCCATATAGTTCCTTTGCTCTTTATAGTTCCTATGCTCCAAATAGTTCCTTTGCTTCAAATAGTTCAAAAAAGGAACTGGATCAGAGAAAGGAATTATATTAATTAAAGAACTGGAACTAGTTCCGTTCGTTCCTTTCTCGGAATAGTTCCAATGAACTAGTTCGTTCACTACCCAACTCTACAAAGTTTATTTGTTTTGGAAAATTAGAGTGTGTGCGACAGCCGATTCTTTTATTCTTTTTATAAATATTCTCACTGAAACCCCACAGCAACTATTTCCTGCAATAGTTCGAACAAAATGTGGCGTAATATTGTAATATCATTCGAAAGAGTTCTGGTATTAAAGCCACCCATTAAACCACAACCATATAACTGGAATAACTACATAACCAAAGCTGCCACCGGCCAGCAGCAACAACAACACCACCGTTCACTATGTTCCTCCTTGGTACATTATAAAACCGAAACCCAACCCAGCAGTTCTGTTGAAGGTGATCCCGAATATATTGTCCCCTATAAACCGGAATATGAGAGGGCACAATCATCACAGGCTTTAATTGAGGCATTGCGTACACGTTTCCGCCTTAGTGACAAGGAAATGCAACAGATTATGGAAGATCCGCTGGTTGCAAAACATTATCGGAAAAAGTCGTTGCTGTTGACATTGGACTTGCTGATGGCTGAGGGTGTTACTAGGAAGCAATTCGTGGAATATCCATGGATTATCACTTTGGAAAAGGGTAAATAAGAAAATTAATCTTTAAGAAGTCGGGATAGCCAAATGGATGATGTGGGGAAGTAGGTCAATATGAGGCTTAAGTTGAAGTTTATGTTGCCCTAGAAGTGTTATGAGGAAACCGTTTGTGGAATATCCATGGATTATCACTTTGAAAAAGGGTAAATAAGAAAATGTATATCTAATAAGTAAGGAAAGTCAACGGATGCTATGGGGAAGCAGGTCAATATCAGGCCAAAGTCGAAGTTTAAGTTTGGATTATTTATATAGTTGCCCTAGAGGCATTATGAGAATTATTTTGAAACATATGAAGTCCTGATTCGTGACATGGGGGTTTCAAGTTTAATTTCTATAAAGAAATATAGTCGAATCGGCCAAGAGACCGTACAAAATGAGGTTATGATTGGGTTTTAAAATGACCTATAAAGATTGTCAAATAATCAGGGAAGCAGGGTGATGTTGTTAGTAGTTTGAAATGATACATTTTTGGTGTTATGTTTGATTTTTAAAATGGCCTATAAAATTTGGTAAAATTTAAAAATCTACAGCAGATCAGTGAAGGTGTTTTTGAGGTTATGTTTGATTTTTAAAAGAGCCTATAAATTTGGCAGAACATCAGGGAAGCAGGGTAAAGCTGTTATTCATTTCAATTGTTATTTAAATCTTCTAAGATTTCATTAAAAATCTGTATCAGATCAGTAAAGGCGTTTTTCAGGTTATTGTTGATTTTTAAAACCGTCTATAAAGTATTTGTACGGTCAAGTCGTTATAAGCCATATGAAATAAAGAAAATAATTTTTTTCTGGACCTTTGTTTTCTTTACAGGAAGTTTAACTGAAAAAATATCCCTACTCAAATCCCTGCGAGGCTTTCGAGACATCAACGATTTTGTCCCGTTCTTACGGCTGCATTTACCACGTCTGCGTCGTTTGGTTGGCAGTATGAATCAAGAAGCTGATCATATCGCATTTGGAAGTCGTATTTATTATATTGCCGATAAATTAAAGGCTCCCGTTAGCTTGGTAAATAAATATTTGGCCAAACGGTTATTTGTCCTGGAAATGCCATTGGAAATGTTTAAAACCAATTTGGAACTGATGCTTAAATACAATGTAGAATCACATAATATACTCAAAGATCTGTGGGCATTTCGTTATGCACCACGTTCTGTGGAAATGCGACTGAAGCGGGCCATATCCGCCAAAAAGGATAAAATTATGCCATGGATGGTACGGTGTCCCGAATCGATATTGCAAAAGTAAGTCAATGGATAATCAACCCCGTTATAAAGTTCTGTAATTAATTTGTTTTCTCTTAGATCCCTCCAAATTTCCCTAGACGACCTGGAGATACTTGGCGATCGCACCCCTGCTGAATATGTTGGCGATCGTTTAGGTTTCACGGCGGAACAAGCTATGTGCATTATGAACAAACATCCACAGGTGAAATCAGTTCGTATGACCAAAATCAAAGAGGTCCTAGATTATTTACTAAATGAAGCGAAATTTACCCGACATGAAATTGCACAAGTTCCACGTATCCTATGTCATAGCTTGGAAACGACAAAACAACGTATGGAAGAATTAAAACAATATGGTTGTCGACCTTCCAGTTTGGTGATACTCTGTAAAAGTAAACGGGAATATAGTAAATTTCTGAATGCCTGGATCGATCAATATAATCCGAATAAAAATCGTCAGGAGGGAAGTGAAACGAAGACAGATGATAGTAGCCAAAGCTAATATAGAATAATAGTAGTAGTAGGAGATAACTTGTTATTTACTTTTAAATGCATTATAAATTATTATTAAAAATTTTGTTCTTGTTTAAAAAAAAATAAACGAACGTTTTTCAAATTTTTTGGAAAATCTTTATTTTTTTATACTTTGATTCAGGGTATTATAAAACAAATTCTTAATACCTCTGGACATTCAAAAAGATCCATAAATGTCTCTGGCAGTGTTCGTGTACAAATCTGCAGCAGATCGTTGAAGAGGTTATGTCTGATTTTTAATGGTCTTTAAAGGTTTCAAAAATCTTCTGGAGATCGGCAATTATTTATTGGTTTAGGCATGTGGGAGATCAAGGATAATTCTAGAAGAAAATTAGCTTTTCGTTTCTTGGGATTTATTTAAAAAAATTGCAAAATTTCGGAAAAAACTTAAGTAATTTTGTGAAACAGTTGTTGAGGTTATGATTGAATTTTTAATAGTCCCTAAAAATTACCAAATAATCAGGGAAGTCGGGTGAGGTATTTATTAGTTTGAATTGATATTTTAATCCTCTATGATTTCGGTAAAAATCTGTAGTAGTTCAGTGATAGCGTTTTTGAAGTTATGGTTGATTTTTTGTGGTCTATAAAGGTTTGCAAAAATTCAGGGATGCAGGGTAAGGTGATTATTAGTTTGAATTGTCATTTAAATCCTCAAAGATTTCATTAAAAATCTGCATCAGATCAGTGGTGGAGTTTTTGAGGTTATGGTTAATTTTTAATGGTCTATAAAGGTTGGAAAAATATCAGGGAAGCACGGTAAGATTGTTATTAATTTTAATTGTCATTTAAATCCTCAAAGATTTCATTAAAAATCTGCAGCAGAACAGTGAATGTCTTTTTTGAGGTTATGATTGATGATTTTTAATAATCTATAAAGATTGTAAAATAATCAGGAAAGAAGGGTAAGTTTGTTAGTAGTTTGAATTGATATTTAAATACTGTAAAATTTCATTAAAAATCTGCAACAGATCAGTGAATGGATTTTTTGAAGTTATGGTTGATTTTTACTTGTCTAAAAAGTGGCTTTGAATTTACATTTAAATCCTATTAAGAATTCAGTAACCCAATATATGCCCATATTAAATAAAATGTTCTTAGTTTGTTTTGTGAAATTAAAAAAAAATGTATTTCAAATTATTGAACAAAAAAAACTTAAATTTATCACATCAACTTGTTTATAAAAAAATACTTCGTTTTTTGAGAAATCAAATAACATTTTGTAATAAAAATCAAAAAAAAAAAAATGCAAAAAAACGTGGACTACAAAATTTATTGGACTTCAATTTCTTTAAGAAGTTTGGAGACCCAGAATGTGACACCATTCTTGACCACAGTACCGACCAATTTTGCCTTGCCCTTGTAGTCGGCTGGGGCTACCCATTGGAATTGCAAAGTGTTGGGAATGTTCTTCTTGTCGATTTTCACATGGGTCAAGGTGTCCTAGAAAATAAGGAGAATAAAAAATTTTATTTTGCGTAAAATATTAAATGATATATATAAAATATTATAGAAATATTTTCCGTGGATTTTTTAAAAATAATTTCTCTAAGCTTGTATTTTTTAAGAATACATTTTCTAGGAATATCATGGGTATGAATATTTATATATTTTTTCAAAAACTAAAATAAGTGTTGAATTTTGGGGTATATAATTTTGCGGGGTATACAATAATTTTTATCTAACTCTTAATCTTTTCTAATCCCTAATAGTAATACTTCGAAATTAATATATATTATGCCCTTGTTATAATACTTACACCAGCCTTGGAACAGGTGAGCAATTGTGATTTATTCGATTCCACAACTTTGAAGGTACCAATTGGTTTCTTATTAGAATCTTGCACCTGGATGGCGAAGCCCAAAAATTCACCACCACCCAATGTAACAGTGAGTTTTTCGCCAGCCTTTACAACACTCTCCGTGGAAACGGAATATGGTGACGGTGAGCTTTGTTCTTTCACGTGATGTTCAGGTGTCAAACCGTTTGTGCAAGCCTCTTTAGGGGCACCACTCGAATAACCAAAGGCAGGGGCGGCCAAACAGCATGCAATAACCAGAAAACGAAACATTTTTCAAGGAGAGAGATCTGTAAAAAAGAAAATCATGTTTTTTCAATAAAACTGGGTTTCTATATAAATTTGCATATAGATCTGTGTAAAATTTGTTTACGATGGCGTGTAAAGTGTGAGTGTTTTTTTTTTCTTTTTTTGTAATTTATACTTTTAAAATTTAAATTTGTGTGAATTTGTTGTTGTTGCTGTTGTAACAGTTGTATATATAAATTTGCTGCATTGGCATGATAAAAGTAACCTTGGCTTGCCGCAAAAAAACAAAAACTGAAACGTTCAGCTGAAATGTCTTGACCAAATTGCAATGCGATTTTTTTCTTGGTATATTGTTTGTTTTATATGGCCAGTAGTTAGGTGAAACATGCTATTTTGTTGTCTTCAGTATCTATCTATTCAATTATATACTTGAATGACTTTTTGTGGAAGAAAAAATAAAAACGTAACCTAAAATGTACTTTTTAAATATTTGAAGCACACAGGGAGAAGACGTATTATGAGTTCAAAAATGTAAAACTATTTTTTTTATTTCTTTAAGTCCCTATCCATTTGAACTAAAAATCTGTAGGGGATGAGTGAAGACGTTATTGAGGTTATGTTTGATTTAATGGTCTACAAAAGTTTGGCAATTAATCAGGGAAGCAGGGTAAGGTTGTTATTAGTTCGAAATTGACATTTAAATCCTGTAAGATTAAGTAAAAATCTGCAACTGAACAGTGAAAGCATTTTTGAGGTTATGGTTGATTTTAATGGTCTTTAAAGGTTGGCAAATAATCACGGAAGAACAGTATGGCTGTTATTAGTTTCAATTTACGTTTAAATCCTCTAAGATTTCACTAAAAATCTGCAACAGATAAGTGAAAGTTTTGTTTGTTGCTTTTCTGAAGAATATTCGCTTCTTAATAACATAAAATAATTTATTTAAACTTATTTTAAAAATAATAAAAAAACAATAATAATCCAAACACAAACATTTTGACTTTCACTATTTGAAAACTAGCAATTATTAAATGTTAAAATGTTGTTAATTAAATTTGTGGGTTTCTTTGCACAAAAATCAAGTTTTTTTTTTTTGCATTTCATTAAACATTCATTCATTGTGAATTTTTTGGAACCGATAAAATTTAAATTGTCTGCCTAATGATAATTAGTTGTCATTACGAGAAACTTCTATTGCTCTTCCGAAAATAATGTGTATATATATTTTTTTAAATAATCTATTGTATTTAAGGTATATAATTAAATTTTCGTCAAATTAAGCGGATTCAATACAAAAAATAAAAAACATAGACAGTAAAATTGACACAAACAAACGTGTTATGTTAATTTTTGGCGTGGGATCTTAATCTGATACCGTGACGGCAAACGCAATGGGAAATCTATGTTTTTGAGATATACAATAAGAACGTCGTGTTTGAATGATTTTGGGTTATTGTTTCGGTTTCCATATTAATCATCAAGGTTCAAGGTGAGACGATGTCAATTCTTTTTGATAGATGATATGAAATTAGCTTAGCATAAAGCAAGGTATATTTATAAGGTAACCGTATCAAGGCAGCTGATGGTAACATTATATGTCAAACAGAATTTTGTTATTTTAATTCGCCGTAGGTAGATAAAAAGAGAATTTAAATTTAAAAACAAAAACAATGCGTTTGCTTTTTATTGAAATACATGTTGTGAAAGAATTAAAAAAACCAAACATAAATATCACGGAAGCAAAAGGTTCTGGAATATTGGACTTAATTTTTTTGCGGAGCAAAACTATGCGGTGATTATCTTATACTTCAGCCTCTAACAATACCATAGTTATGACCTTCATAGAAAATTAAAATTTTTTTAAAGTTATTGGTCCATTTCAAAATATCATTGCCAAAACTATTGGTTTTGCCTTTGACCAAACGGAATGAACATCATAACTTAATGAAGTACAGATGGATGGGCACACAGATATGACTTGAATTTCAGTTGATACAACAGATAACATAAGAACAAACTCTACCCTTAAAGGAGATGAAATTTAAACAGAAAAAAGATAGTGGATTCTACACCCAGAATATTTTGTCCGTATTTGTGAATCTTGGAGCAGTTAAATTTTGCTAGATTTCCGACACCGAAACACGTTTTGTATGCCTTTATCATGGTATATTTAAATTTGTTTCGAATTTCATTTGGAGTCCATGGAATGCATTAAAATTCAAGGATAAATAGTCAACGCCCGGTTCCGTTCCTAAGTTCTTCATTGAATTTAAGTCGCGGTTTGATGTTCTTTTTCAATCACCAATCTGAATTTGCACAAACATTCATAATTTTAAAAATTACTAAAAAGTAAACAAATATTTTTAATATTTCAAAATGCTGAATTCTGATTGGTTGAATGAAATTCGCTTCAAATTTGATATGTTACGGCGAATCAATTATTATTTGCCTTGTTAACTATTTTGACATATCATGTTCCCAATTCGCCGATGCGGCTACCTTATGTATCTACCTTGGCATAAAGTTAACAACATCGTATATCCATAAACATATTCTCAAAAATGGGTAATCAAAAAAAAAAAAAAATGAATACAAAAATTGTTTAATTTTAGTTTAAAACATAAAAACAAAATATTCAAAATTGTCTAAAGAATATTTTTCAAGGAAAATAGACAGAATGTTTCTAAAGAATATTTTTCAGACGTGGATTTTTTCAACGACTGCACTATAGGTCAAATGACCACTTTTTCTGTGCAAAATTCATAACGGCAACAAAATCATAGAATTCGGCATAAAATTTGGCCTAACAGATTTGTTTGTTACTAGAATTGTTATCTTTGAATTTGAAAGAAATCGGTTCAGATTTTGATATAGCTCCCATATATATTTTCATCCAATTTCAGGTTTAAGATGCACCAAATCGGTAATATACAACGGATTGCGATGAAATTTGGTTTGTACGATTTTTTTGAGTCTGCAAATATGTGTGTCGAATTTGGAAGAAATCGGTTCAGATTTGGTTATAGCTCCCATATATATATTTCATCCGATTTCAGGTTTAAGATGCAACAAATCGGTAATATACAACGGATGGCGATAAAATTTGGTTTGTACGATTTTTTTTGAGTCTGAAAATAAGGTAAGATATGACATCCATATACAGTCGAATTCGGTTAAGCGAAAATGCCTAATTTCGGATAATTTGTTTCTCTTAAACCGGATTTTCAATTAAAAGAACTTCGGATAAGCGAAACTCGTTGCGCTTAAACAAAGTTTTCAATCAATATCGGAAAAATTGCAAAATTTAAAAATCATATTATAAAATGCATTGAGTAAGAACTTCTTTCTTCGTAGACATTTGCTTGGGTGGTTGGAAAAATGTGCAACATAATTTTAGGGTTGCACGTAAACATTTTAATGAATTTCGTCGCCTTACAAAAATGATATTTTTCTCTTAAACTGTGCTCGTTTCATATATATTTGTGTTTTTGCAACAAAAAAGTCTTTCTCTTATACAGGTTTTCGATTAACCGGTTTTTCTTTTAAGCGAAGTAAAGTGTTTGAAAATTCATCCGAAATATTAGTTTTAAATTTGTAGTTTTAATTAACCGATTTTTTCGATAAACCGTTGTTCGCTTATCCGAATTCGACTGTATATGTTCCATCCGATTTCACGTTTAAACCACGTCAAAATCACAATATACACCCGATCATAACGAAAATCAGAAATGTCTCTGCCAAATTTGATTGAAATCGGATCTGATTTACATATAGGTCTCATATATATGTTCTATCTTATTTCAACTTAAACCTCTCGTTTGCATTATACCGCCCTTTTGAAACTGTTATATTTACAAGGAAAGCTAGAGCTTCATCAGCAGAAAGTGGAGTAGGCTTTTGGGGTTCTTGGGGTGTCCCGTTCCTCAGTTAACAGCTTTTATTAGGTGCCGCTTTTTCTGAACAATTCTTAAGCAAATAATTTAAATCAGAATTTAGCCATTCATGATTTTTGTCTTTGAAAACATGCATGTTTCTGTGACATTTTTCCCAATTTTGCGAATAAATTGTATTGAGCGACTTGCACGGCCAGATGTGTAACGGTACTTCATATTTAGCACTAATAAATATCACAAAAACTACAACTCGTGAAAAAAGACACTTTGATTTTTTTCAATCTTGCACAGAAAAACCGGTCATTTGACCTATAGTCGACTTTAGACTTTATTGAATTAATTAACATTTTAACAACACAATTATTGTCTGTTGTCTTATAAACAAAAAAACAATTGTTTCCTTATAAAAACAACCATTTAATAATATAATGATTTTAAAATTAAAGTCCTATTCTTTTTGTTAATCATTTCACAATTTTTAATAATGCATGGCCCTATTATAACATAAACATTTTATTATTTTATTTCCTTATTAAAAAAAACGTTTAACGATAATCATTTATTGAAAATGAAAGTTCTGTTCTTTCGTAAAAAAAAACATTTCCTATTTTTTGTAATTTGCATAAATAAAAAAACAATAAACTGATAGACCTTTCTTATTAAGTAAATGACAACAACAAAAAACAACTCAAATGTTGTTAATTGTTAAATGTTTTAAACAAAATGTCAATTTTTTTGTTTGTTATTTCATGTTTCATTTTAAATACCGGTTTTTAAACAAAAAATGCATTTAAATACATCAACATTTATGTTAATCGTACAAAGTTGTAGGTTGCTAGCCAGCCAACAATATGGAAATTAGTTTGCTGAATTCGTTTGTCTACAAAAAAGTAGTTCCATACATTTTATAATTATTGAAACAAAAAAGGAAAAAAAAATCAAATGGGGGAACCGGTTCCACAATTTGATAAATTACTTAATAAGCAAGTGTATTGCTGCCAGCCGGTCTTTTCTGCCACTTCTAGCACATCTGGGTTATAGATCTCTTTTTTTGTTTGGCCTTTTCAATCAACAATTTTCTGTTCCTAATTACTTGGCAGTTTTTTTATGAGAATCATTTGAAAATGGTAGTAATTTTTCATAGTTTTGAGTTTGGAGGTTTTAATTTTATTCTTTGTCATTATTATTTGTTTCTTTGTTTTTTTTTTCTTTTTTCAAATCAAGTTTCCATGTCAATAATAACCTTGATTACTGTTGTCTGTTTTTTCTCTAAGTTGTTAGTTTCCAAATGTTGTTTTAACCATTAGCTGTTTGGGTGTATAACATGTGTGCATGTACATACATGTCACGTGAGGGGTCAAGTATTTGTCGTTACCAATCACATTTGGATATTAATCAAGATAACAATTGTACTCAATAAAAATCCATTGTACGAAATTTCAGCGAATTCAGTTAACTATTCTAATATAAAAAGGGTTTATACGGAGGCTATCAGAAAAATTGGATCTATATATATATAATTTTTAATGGAAATATTTGGTACACCATAAAAACCCATTGTACCAAATTACAACGAATTCGGGTGAAAAACACGCTCAAGAACCCCAAAATATCGAAAATTGTGTGATACCCTTATATGGGGGCTACCCGAAAGAATGGACCTATATATTTATAAATTTTTCTGGAGGGATTTGCTACCCAATAATAAATCAAAGTAATAAGTTACGGAAATTTCAGTCGAAAAATACGATCAAAACCCCAAAAATATCGAAAATTGGGGATACTCTTATATGGTGGCTACCAGAAAAGGTGGACCGATATTTATAAATTTTAGTGGAAATATTTGGTATACAATAAAAACCCATTGTACCAAATTTTAGCGAATTCGGTTAAAAAACACTATCAAGGACCTCAAAATATCCAAAATTGGGGGATAAACTTATATGGGGGTTATGCCTAAACGAACAAAATAATCAGACAAATATAACCGTCTAGGAGAGCAGAAATTGAGAAGACGCTGACAAGATGATATAGGAGGTGAGTTAGGATATCGCCAAACTCACAATCAGGAAGAAGCAGTTGTATGGGGGCACAAAGGCGGAAGTTGTCCAGAATTAACCTGATGAACAAAAAGTGCTAGATGCAGACAGAGGCTCAAAAGGATAAGCCTGACCTTCCTCTCACTTCTGCGAAAGCGGCGAAGAGGATAAGGTCTCCGGATGAGCAGGTGATTGTCACATTTGCAAAAAATAAAAAGAGCTTCCGATAAGAAGAGAAAGCTGAGTCAAACCAACGTCAAAGAAAACTGACACGAGAATCCACTGACAGACTGACTCTGATATCAGGAAGACATTTACCTGGCATCAGTATATCTCCCGTCTGACTCGCCGATACTACCACCAACGTCAGAGCTGCAGCTACTGCTGAAGAAAGCACAGAAAACATGTAACGAAGTACTAATTAGTAGTGATCCTAACTCACATGATATTGCGTGGGGTAGTACAAATACTAACAAAAGCGGCCAGGCCCTTCATGGACATGTGGTGGTATTATCCACCCCTCTTTTCAACCTAACCTAATCTTATAAGGCCGAAAAAGAGCATTTCGGAAGGAAAAACAAAATTAATATACCCTACATACTATAGTGGAGGTTATAAAAAGGCACGAATGTACCCGGTTATTGATCGTAGGGTTAAGTCGGATCACATATAGACACAGATCACATATTTAATTTAGTGCAGTGATTATTTTTGAATAACCAAGTCTGTTAGAATGCATCTCTTGAATATAACCAAAGTGCTAAAAGGGTATCATAGAATCGGCCCCCCTTCCGACTTTACTACTTTCCTCACTGGTTTAATTATGTCATTGTCGTCAGCATACACATATTTCAAATTTATCACACAATAGTTTCCATTCTTTTTCTTAATATTTTGTCTAACGCATCATAAAATACTCAAATCGTTTAATGCCAATGGTCGGTGTGTCTGTTAATGTTCATAACCAGCACTACACCAGGGATAATATTTTAAAAAATAATTTTAGTGTCAATAAAAAAGTTTTTATTGTGCATCAGATTTCAAAACTTTTTATAAAACGGTCGATTATTCATTATTTTATTATTCCATTTGGTTCTATTTCATTTTTTAAATTTTTTTATTCATTTTGACAAAAAAGCAATCTGGCCAATAAATTTCTATTATAAAAATTATTATTTAATATCATAAATATATTCCATGATATGTTTTATTCTTTATTTTGAATATTTGTTGCCTAACGCATCACAAAATATTGAAATCGTTTAAAGCCAAAGGTCATTTAGCAAGACATACACACAAAATGTCTTTTAATCTTCATTGCCAATTCAATACCATTAATATTTTTTTTTTTTTAAATTTTTTATTATTTCTCATTGTTTTTTATTTTTTTAATAAAACTCCGAACAAAATCTTTACCTTTAATTTGACAGTATTGAACAAACAATAAGCACAACTTAAAACAAACTGAAATTCTTTTAATGTTTCTTCTTATATTTATACAGAAATTCTTACCAAAATTCGAATAGTGGATTTAAAAACGATATTAACTTCCATGGCATAAAAGAGCTTTTCTATTTAAGCCAAGCTAATAACCGGCCTGCTGTCGAGAGAGCGAAACAGAGAGATTGTATTGGAGAAAAAGCTTAGCTTAATCGTGTAATATTTTAAGGCAATATTTTTTTTTGTTTCATTCGAAATCAAAACACCCCTTCTAGTTAGTCGAATGATTGTTATGGTATTTGTCAGCCAACGCATATTTAGAAATTAATAAAAAGGGCAGTATTAATTACACTAATTAACAAATTAATTTTTAATAGGAAATAATATTTTGCTAAATAAATGAAGTGTAAAACTAGTAGTAGATTATTGGAGGCTCTGGAACAGAACAATAGTTTATGCCTATTTTAAAACAACAACATGAAAAAAATTGTCCACGATAGTCATATTCAAACCCATAATTAGGTAATGACATTGTTCATCAAGGGTCAAGGTAGTTTTGTTTCTTTCATCTGATCTTCCTGTCATTTATATTTTTAGCGATATTCATATTCGGATAAGGATTTCTCGAAACCCTTGCATTTTTGGTATATGATGTCTTTGGCAAATTTAATGTTTTAAACGTGAGCAAGATTTTTGTATTATATGTTAACCCTCAGTCGACACTCTGAAGGGGTCTTTTCGTTCCCTTTTCCCAGAAATGATTGAAAACTCATTTAAGACGAGGTTATATCAAGTCAGAATATTCTACAAAAATGTTTGCCATAAAGTTTTACTATAGCTCTCAGAATAAACTAAAACTCGAAAATCAACCTAAACGTCAAAAATCTTAAAAATATGAGAAAACTCATTTTTTGAGGTTAAGTTTGTAACAATTTTTACCACTAGATGTCGTTTTAGAACTATAGTACCAAAGACGAAAATATTCTCCAGCAAATTTTAGTATAAGTCACTGAACAAGAGAAATCGGTATATATAATATTTATACGGAATATATAGAAATTAAAATGGGACAAAAATTCTAATTTTTTTCAGAAAAAAACGGACAGAGTAGAGGGCATGAAATATTTGATAATATTCGGATCAGAATATCTCGAAACCCTTGCATTTTTGGTATATGGTGTCTTTGGTGATATTACCTTTAAAAGCTGGTCCAATAGTTTTGCTAATATGTTAACCCTCAATCGACACTCTGAAGGGGCATTTTCGGTCTCCTTTTCCAGAAATCATTGATAACTCATTTAAGACGGGATTATATCAAGTTAGAATATTCTACAAAAATGTTCGCCATAAAGTTTTACTATAGGTCGCAAAACTCGAAAATAAGCCTAAACGTCAAAAATCTTATGAAAACTAATTTTTGAGGTTAAAACCGATCTTATTCTGAGTTTGTAAAAATTTTTACCACTAGATGTCGTTTTAGAACGACCGTACCAAAGACAAAAATATTCTCCAGCAAATTTTAGTATAAATCACTGAACAAGAGAAATCGGTATATATAATATTTATACAGAATATATAGCCATCAATTTGGGACAAAAAATCCATCCAAGAAGGCGTGGATTTTCTAAAGAATATTTTTTCAACGACCATCCAACAAGGCGTGGATTTTCTAAAGAATATTTTTCAAGGCCTATACAAGGCGTGGATTTTCAAAGAATCTTTTCAAGGTCTATACAAGGCGTGGATTTTCTAAAGAATATTTTTCAAGGCCTATACAAGGCGTGGATTTTCTAATGAATATTTTTCAAGGCCTATACAAGGCGTGGATTTTCTAAAGAATATTTTTCAAGGCCTATACAAGGCCTGGATTTTCTAAAGGAATATTTTTCAAGGCCTATACAAGGCGTGGATTTTCTAAAGGAATATTTTTCAAGGCCTATACAAGGCGTGGATTTTCTAAAGGAATATTTTTCAAGGCCTATACAAGGCGTGGATTTTCTAAAGGAATATTTTTCAAGGCCTATACAAGGCGTGGATTTTCTAAAGGAATATTTTTCAAGGCCTATACAAGGCGTGGATTTTCTAAAGGAATATTTTTCAAGGCCTATACAAGGCGTGGATTTTCTAAAGGAATATTTTTCAAGTCCTATACAAGGCGTGGATTTTCTAAAGGAATATTTTTCAAGTCCTATACAAGGCGTGGATTTTCTAAAGGAATATTTTTCAAGGCCAAATACAAGGCGTGGATGCTACTAAAATATTTTTTAAGGCTTAAAACAAGGCTTGGATGCTACTAAAATATTTTTTAAGGCTTAAAACAAGGCTTGGATGCTACTAAAATATTTTTTAATATCTTTATTTAATTGTAATTACAAAAACAATCTAAACTTTATACTACAGAAAAAACTGTATAAATTAAAAAAATATATTCACTTAAAATTAACTTTCTTTAATTTTAACGACTTTATGGGTCGTATCAGCTTTTTACGTTCCTCACGATGTTGTTTCAATTGCAGTTCACGTTTGCGTAAATCTTTCTTTTTCAAGTCGAATGTCATTTGGCGATTACCCGATGAACCGCCAATTGTCTGTACTTTGGAGTTAGTTTCCTCTACCTTAGAAACACGATCGGCCAGACTAACTTTCATCATGCCACGTTTCACCGAACTCATTTCCGCTGATGATTGCAAGGAGAACATTTTGAATTCTTTAGGTTTGGCACCGGATAATTGTGGTGCCAATGCCCTAGATTTGGCTGGAGTATTTTTCTCTTTGCTTTCTTCTTCCACATCCATTTCTTCTAGTTCCTGCTTGCGTTGCTTTTTAACATCTTTGTAGGCCCTCTTCATTTCCTTGGCAAATTCCTTGACATTTTCATCATCTGATGATTCTGCTTCGGAGGAGTTCTTTTCATCATCATCATCATCGCTCTTCTCTAGACCAAACAAATCTTCATCATTATCACTTTCTTCATGGGGTTTATTTTCCTCTTCGTGCAGTTCATTGACCCGGGCCACTTCAATACGTTTCTTAATTTCCTTCAGCTTAGATTTCTCCAAACGATTGAGCACTGGAGCCAAAAGTTTATATTCTTCAGCATTTTTATCAATACTAAAATCGGTATTTTCAAACATGGCCTTGAAACGATTATCCTCCAGTAGATTGGGGGTTTGTTTGCTGGCCTGTTTGGCCGAGGGATTGGTTTGTTCTTCAATAATTTTGAGTGCCAAATCTTGATTGACTTTGGGTAGTTTACTGCTAAGTTGGAGACGAGGTTTACGTTCACTTTCAATTTCCTGGCGGATTTTCTCTTTACGGAATCTTTCGAAAGCAAATGGATCCACAATAGATTTGGCACGATTATACAAACGAGCATCGATGAAATAGCCATGCATATAGGCTTTTAGTAAATTGCTGCCAATCAAATGTTCCAGACCCAATTCTTCCAATTCCTTTTGGGTGACAAATTGATAATCGTCATACATATTCTCCACAACTTCGGATTCAATTTCCTCGGTTAGATTATCCAAGAATGAGCACCATCTGGGGGCAGGACCCATGGCCGGTACATAGAAGGTGAGCATTTTTACATCTTCTTGGGCCAAAAAGAACATACCCGTATCGGGTACTGTGCAGAAGTCATTGAAGGATGAGGTGGATTCAATGTAAGCAATTTGTTTGCCCTGCAAGAGAAGTGATTAGAAACTATTTCCAATTTTTATAAAATGTACGCTTACCGTCTGCTCATCCCACAATTTAAGCATGGCCTCATCCAGCGAATACACCGCATTGTGATTTGGATTAAAAGCCAAACGTTTTATTGGCACCTTGTTCAAATGATCCTTTACCAGCAGCGGCTCCTTGGAACGTATATCATATAGTAGAACATGCCCTGAATTCGTACCCACACCCATATGAAGACCATCTTTAAATTTCAATGCCGACACGGAGGGGAATTCCTTAACACCTGGCAATTTAATGGCCACATCCAATGTGGAACATTTCGTTTTGGTCCTGGGGTCCCAAGCTTCAACGGTACCCTCTTTCGTGCCCACCATTAACAAACCATGTTCCGCACTAACATCGCAGGCATTGATACACGATGCCTCCGACTCATAAGGCTGCAAAAACTGACCTCGTTCCAAATTTAAACGATATATCTCCTTCGTAGTTCCCACAATAAAAAGATCACACGATGGCTTGTGATATTTCATATCCCTACCAAATCGGGGGATACGCAAACGATAATGCCGACCATGGGCTGCATGTATCTCTACATAACGATCACATTGCAGGAATACCATTTTACTGTAATCATCACTGATCACCTCAAAGGTGGTCACCTCGGAATCGAAACACCTCTCAAATTTGATGGACAAATTACAGACTTCGAAACATTTGACGCGCGGTTTATAGGTACCCGTGGCCAGAATATATTGATTATCGGGAGACATACGTATCGACGTACACACCCCGGGCATATCAAAATCCTGTATCAATTCGATTTGTCGCCGTGAGTCGACTTTTTTCATTAGCTGGGATCTTTTGCGTCGATCGGTGAGCCACTGCAAAGAAGAGGGGAAACCACATTAGTGGGTCACAAAATTCTCCAAAATTCTAATGGGGGACTACTTACTTCTGGTACCGATTTACCCGCACTAAGATTATAGATTTTAACATCGTTCACCTCATTCACAAACATATTTACATATGTTGTGAATTATTTTTTTGGGGAATAAATATTTAGTTTCTAAATAAAAAAATAATTTTACGGAAATTGAATTTTGCTCCAAAGCTCCATGCAATTGTAAACAGAACTGTAGTGCTACACACATGCACGTGGGCACTGTGTATATCGATAATTTTCGATAATATAAACAAAACAGTAGAAATTGAAAATAAATCCGAAGTGGTATCGAAAAACAGCTGTTAGATAATAGCAGTGTTTTATTCGTTATTACGCTCTGTGTTATAGCTGCCACGAAACGAGACATGAATTTAGCTACGGATTTATGGTTAACAGGAGAATAAAAGGCCTCGTCTACAAATTCACTCCAGTAGATGAGCGAATTGCTTCCGTATAAAAGATGGGCAGACCAAAAACAAATATTTTACGAGCGCCTAGAAACATCATATGACCGCTGCCCTGGCCATGACATTACAATTCTTCTAGGAGATATTAATGCAAAAATCGGAAGGGAAAATATCTTTAGCCCCACCGTCGGAACATTCAGCCTTCATGAAGAAACATCAGACAACGGCATGAGGTTGATTAACTTCGCGGCTGCAAAAAACATGGTAGTTAGCAGCACCCGATATACACAAGGCAACTTGGTTTTCTTCCGATCTAACAACGAAAAATCAAATCGATCATGTTGTGATAGACGGAAGACATCCGAGGAGCGAATATCAATTCGGACTATTACCTTGTTGCAGCCAAGGTTCGCACCAATTTAATGTAGTTGCAAAGGTGCAATCTAATGTAACACGGAAACTAGCTGAAGCGTACTCCGCTCAACTTACCCAACTGCTCGACGAAAGCACCCCTTGACCCAATAATAGTATAGAAACACAATAGCAGAGAATTGCCCAATCCCTACAAACTGCAGCAAAAGCAACACTTGGGTACCAAAGACCATAATCAAGAAACCCATGGTACGATCAGGAGTATCGTAATGCTACTGATATGAAAAACTGAGCGTGTAGGGCAAACCTGCAGACAGTAGCAACACGTAATGCGATAGAGAACTATCGGGAGAAAAGGAGAGAGAAGAAACGTATTTTCAGAAAAAAGAAGAAAGAACAAGAAAAACGTGAGCGTGAGTAAATCGAGATGTACACGAGTTAGAATGTATTCCTTAAATTTTACTAACGAGTAAAACATCAAACCGAAGGCTTTGGTGCAGGCACGTCTTCCTTTAGGGATGAAGAAGGAAACCTGGTGACATATACAGAGAGCGTGTTGAGAATCTGGAAGGAGCATTTTGAAAAGCTTCTGGTATCAAATAGTGGCGGTGAAGAAGATACACCAGAACCAATAAGAGAAGACGGTATAGATTATTTACTACCTAGCCAAAATGAGGTCAGAATAGCAATTAATCGGCTGAAGAACAATAAAGCAGAAGGAGCCGATGGGTTACCAGTCGAAGTATTCAAGACTGGTGGTCAGACGCTGTTCAGAAGCTTGCATCAACTGATTAGTACAATTTGGCTAGAGGAATACATGCCCAATGTTTGGAATCTCAGCATCCTGTGTCCCGTGCAAAAAAATAGGAGACAAGACGATATGTACCAACTATAGAGGAATAAGTCTCCTTCCCATCACACACAAAGTACTTTCCAGAGTGCTGTGTCAACGACTGAAGCCAAAGGTCAATGACATTATTGGACCATACCAAAGCGGCTTCAGACCTGGCAAATCAACCATTGACCAGATTTTCACACTGCGCCAAATTCTAGAAAAGACCCACGAAAAATATATCAACACATTTCACCGATTCGTCGACTATAAAGCCGCATTCGACAGCCCTATCCGTTCAGAGGTATTTAAAGCATTGTCTACATTCGACACTCCTGCTAAATTAATACGACTATGCAGGATACCTTAAAGTGTCACAAGGTCAGCAGTTAAAGTCGGAAAGGACCTATCGAAGCCCTTCAATACCGAACGAGTTCAGACAAGGTGACAGTTTGTCGTGTGATTTTTTTAACATCCTGCTGAAAAAAGTCATACGAGAAACAAAGGTGAGCAGAAATGACACTCTGTACACCAAACAACACATGTTACTCGCCTACGCCGATGACATCGATATAATGGGTCGAACATTGTGAGCAGTAACAGCCACATTTGAACAAATTGTGAAGTAGTCTGCCAAAGCTAGTCAACGATTTTATATGAAATTAACAAGGTTTCTTTATTTGCGCCTCATGTGCTCCCGGCAAGCGACGTCCTTGTTCTTATTTTTCAACTTATCGCATATATTTTTTCCGTTTTGGGTTAATAAATTGTTGATGCTGATGAAATATGAACGCAATGGACTCTTCTGAATGTTACAAATCTACAACAAACATTTTGAGACCGGTTACTAGTCTCTCTGCCTAAAATAAAATAGAAAATAATCTGTTAAAATCAAAATTCTGGTATTTTTACTTCTTTGGTCTATTTTTCTACCGTAACACCCATTTCTATTCATTCAACATTTTTTTCCTTGAGTCACCCTGTTACTTAGAACGATTTGTCACATATCGATGACAATCAGCAATCATATGATGTGTTGTCTGAAATTGACAGTTATCGTTTGACAGCACATCCCTAGGAGACTTGCAAAAAACATATACACGAAACAAAACGGACAAATTTCATAGAAAAAAATAGCCCAGGAAAACCCCAAAGTATATTTTAATCAAAAAAAACGGAGCTTAAAGTTAAACCCACTAAACGGGACACAAGTTGATAGTTCAACTATCACACATTAACAACAACAAATAGAAATACTACTTTTGTGGAAGTGCTGGTGTAGTTTTTTTTCTTTCCTGACCATTCCTCAATTTTATCAAAAGAAGAAAAGAAAAAAAAACACGAAACGCAATTGCAAAACAACAACAACAATAGAAAATAATATACAATCAATACAACAAAAACAAAAGAAGGATTTGGAACAATAAAAAAACCACCATTAAAACTTGAAAATATTGTGTTGAAAATATAATCTGATTTAATTCTGTTATTCACATAGAAGAAGAAACAACAAAAACAAAAAGAGGTATGAAGATAATTTTTATAAATTTGTATTTTGTTGCAATGCATGTGTATATGTTAATTATTGTTTTTTTCTTCGCTACAGGTTCAATAGGTTGGTTGTTTGGTTTGCTTGTCTGTCACATTTATGAATCATAGATTTTTCCTTTACATTTCGGATGAGGGTCTTGTCGATTTTGTTAAGAGACATGTTTTTTGTCATTGGTAGATGTTTTAAAGAAAATCAAACAAAATAGGAAGTTGTTCCGTTATGGGTGGATGGAGTGGAGTTTTGTGTGGATGGCTATCATAATCATTGGCCGACCCGACAACACCCCCTTTTTTGTCGCTGAATTGAACAGTGGTGTTAAAAAGTATACTACTGTATGCAAGTAGTCAGTCAGTGATTTCGATAACGTGGGAAACGATAAAAGTGAAAGGGGGAAATGCAAAGATGGATTTTTTTTTATAAAATGTTTGCATATTTTAATTTGTTTCCAACACCCAAAATATTCCCGGGAGATCCAACAATTTTATATATTCTTGTTTAGAATGAAATCTGTTGAAATCAGGATAGAGACAGCAATATACAAGATAGAGCTTTAAATTTTTAAATAATTCGCAGGCCTGTGGATGCTTGGAAATATTCTTAAAAATATTCAAATGGGTGGCTTAAACAAAATCCTTGCTTCTGTGGGACTCTAAAAAAAGTCCTTTAATAAATAATCGTTGAAAAAATATTGTTTTTTTTATAAAATTTTTTTGATACAATCCAAGATTGAATGGGACCTTATTTTTTTAAATTAATAAAAATAAAAAATTCTATAGAAGAAAAAAATAATCGCTGAGTCCAAGGATTTTGTTCTGTTGTAAAAAATTACCCGCAAGGCAAAGGATTTTAAATCAGGGCTTAGCATTTTTTTGTAATGAACAGAGTAGGTCTACGGAGTCACTGCGTAATGTCGAGGTGCAGCGATATTTTTTTATATAAAAAGTATACATTTATTAGAAAAGAGACGTGGATTTTTAAAGAAGTCTTTTTCAAGGTTTAAAATATGCGTGGATTTGTAATGAAGACAATTTTCAGCGCTTAGAAGATGCGTGGATTTTTAATGAAGACTTTTTTCAAGGCTTAGAAGAGACGTTAATTTGTAAAGAAGATTTTTTTCAAGGCTTAGAAGAAGCGTGGCTTTTTAAAGAAGACTTTTTTTAAAGGCTTAGAAGAGGCGTGGCTTTTTAAAGAAGAATTTTTTTGAAGGCTTAGAAGAGGCGTGGCTTTTTAGCTTTTTAAAGATGGAGATGATTGGGCGTAAATTATTTTCCTAGAATCGATTCCTTGAAAAAATTCAAGATCATTGAATGAAACATAAAATAGCTCTGGAAGTTTCTTTGGAGATTTCTATAATGTCGATGGGCCTTCATTTGTATTGTATTTTTATACACTGAAGCGATTTTTAAGGTCCTTAAAAACTCTAAATGGTCTTTAAAACCTCTTTAAGTCATCTTGGATTTTACGTTGCTCTAGAAGGTCTTACATGTCTTTGTGAGACCTCAAATGCCTCCGAAATTTATTGAAGGTATCTAAATGTTTTGCAGAACATCCCTATAGAGGGCTACAGAATATATAAAAGAACTCCAAATAATTTATGATAGTCTTTATAATTTCTAGAAGCCCATGAGAATTTGTAGAAGTCTTTCAGAAAATCTGTGAAGGCCTTTGGTCGATAGAAGAGCGCTGAAAGTTTCATGGGAGATTTCTAAGAAAGTCGATGGAACAACACTTGTATTATTTATTTAACCATAGAAGTAATATGGAGGTCACATGTCTAATGAAGTCCTACATATAAGATCTTGAAAACCTCTACAAGGTTTTTAATAACTCTTGAAGTCCTCTATGTTATTTTTGTATCAAAACGATTCAGATGTAGATGGAAGGTCCATATAGATTTTTATTATCATTTATATGAGTATCTCTTGTTTAGAAAATTTCCCTACTCCTGGAGGTATGAACATTAAGGTTTCCGAATATACCAACATATTTTACTAAGTGAAACCTATAGCCTCGATTGCAAATTATTTTTACTCAAATACTCGAATATATTTATTTTCAGTCTGTCGTGATAAACTCCTTTATTCTAGTTCTCATTTAGATAGAAACGTTTTTATTTTTAAATTCAAAGATAAATGAAAACAATATCTTCAAAATCTGAATAATTAATTATTTGTTTTCTTGCATGACAATTAATGCAAATTTAATCGGTTTAATTATAATTCTCGTTAAAACCAGTTCCATTGCACCCAACCATTGTCCCTCTCTCTCTCTTGTATCTTCCCTGCAATTGTTTTAGCCAACTTGATACCACCATTGTTGTCTTTACATTATTTTCTCACATTATCAATTTTGAAAAAAAAAAAACACAATCAATGTTCAATGGCAGGCAAGTCAGTCAATAACACCAATGACCGAACTCCGTGTGTTTGCATGAATGTCGTCTACCCACAACAAAGAACCTCTATGGACAAATGTAATAATAATCTGTAAACAAATGGAAACAATCCATTTTGTATACAAAGATTGGAAGAATAGAGTATACAATGAGTAATTGAGAGGGGGAGGAGGAAAATAAATGCCTACAAACATTTAAAAATGGATGAAATCAAGTGAAGCTAACACAGATTTTTTTTCGATTTTCTTCATATTTATTCTAAGGGCTCGAAACTGATTTTAAATCTTTGATTCCACACATATTTAAAATGTTAGTAAGTGATGCTCCAAACTAGCCCAAAAGACCTTATATGAAGCCAAGAAAAAATTATTTTAAAAATGTACGCCTTTTTTGAATCGAAGCCTCGGTGAGATCTTAAAAGAAATATATTTTTTTAATTCATTATTTGACTGGGCAGAATTTTTTCTATGAAAAACTTTCTCAAGCGATTGTGATTTTGTGAGGATTAAAAAAAATTGGAGGATTCGGAAATCCCATAGCCATGGTGTTTATACCGACATAAACTGTCTAAATAGTCTTTCCACCAATTCCCAAGCAATCGAAGAAAATCGTTCTCTTCTCTATCCTGGCTCAACTTAGATCTAGTTGGATCACTACTCTGAAGTATTGTGAAATGGTAGGTAGCTAACAAAAATGTCGACTCAAGTCGAGCATAACCCCATTCTTAACACCTTTTACTTAGCTACTACGCACCTGCTTACTCGCCACCTAATAGTTTCTCCAAAATACTTACATACACACACTTTATGCAAATGCCTTAACAGATAAGCGTTAGGTTTTCTTGTAGTCCAAAATACTCCACATAAAACCGAAAAGAGTTAAAAAATGCCAACACATTTATTTCCTAAAACTAAACCAATCGCGAAACATGTCGGACAGTTATTATATTTTAAATCGTTTCTTTAGGGGAATCGATGAAATTTATGAAAAATGTAAAATTAAAAAAAACTTAAATTAAAATAATTAATTTTAATTTGAAAATGTAAATTTTTATAACAGATATTTTTTTCCATTTTTATTGCAGATCCAACCATGTCATCGGCGCCCTATAATTACAACTATATATTCAAATATATCATCATTGGTGATATGGGTGTGGGCAAGTCCTGTATTCTGCATCAATTTACAGAGAAGAAATGTGAGTATACATTACACCACAAACTATTTTGAAATTTGAAGTTCAAATACGCCCTTGTCCCACAGAGTATAGGATTTTTTAAAGAATATTTTTCAATGTCTAACAGAAGGAGGGATTTTTAAATAATATTTTTTATTTCCCAAAGAATACTTTTTTACTTAGCTGGCTTGTTACAGAACGGTTGTTCCATAAGCCGAGCTTAAAAAAGATTTCCAAGCGCGTCGGTCTTGTGCGCATCTCCTCCAATTTAAAAGGCCATGCTCCGAAATGGTGTCTTCTACTTGGTCTTTCCATCTAATACGTGGCCTTCCCCTTCTGCGTGAACCCACAGTAGGCTCGCTAGCCATCGTAGTCGCTGCAGCTCAAGAGTGTGAGTTTGGTTTGGCGGGAGGTGGCCTTGCTTTTGAGTTGTTTGCTCAGACCATAGTAGCATCTGTTGCCCATAAAAATCCTTCTCCGAATTTCAAAACTGATGTTATTCGATTTATTTATGGCGGTACCAAGGTGTATAAAATCTTTGACTACCTCGAAGCTGTAGTTCTCAAGTTCCACAGTTGGTCCGAGTCTACTGGACGTCTTGCGCGTTGATACCATCAGCTTGGTCTTCTCGCCGTTTACTGCCAGACCCACTTTGGCACACTCCTTCTCAATATGTTCAAAGGTGGCTGTTACCGCTCTCAATGTTCGATCCATTATGTCGATGTCATCGGCAGTGTCATTTATATTCACCTTTGCCTATCGTATGACCTATCCCAGAAGAATGTTAAAAAGGTCACACGACAAACTGTCACCTTTTCTGAATCCTCGTTTCGGTATTAAAGGGCTCCGATATGTCCTTTCCGACTTTAACCGCTGATCTTGTGCCTGTATAGCCATATTAATTTTGCAGGAATGGCAAACGCAAACATGGGTTTATACACCTCTGAACGGATAGGGCTGTTGAATGCGGTTTTATAGTCGACGAATAGGTGCTATGTGTCGGTGTGTTTTTCGTGGTTCTTTTCCAGGATTTGGCACAGAGTGAAAATCTGGTCAATGGTGGATTTGGACCATTGGCTTCAGTCGTTCACACAGCACCCTGGATAGCACTTTATATGCAATGGGATGGAGACTTATTCCTCTATAGTTAGTACATATCGTCTTGTCTCCTTTTTTGTACACGGGACACATGATGCTGAGGATCCAATCATTGTACATGCATTCTTCTAGCCAAATTATACTAATCAGCTGGTGCATGCTTGTACCAGCATTTGACCAACAGTCTTGAATAGTTCGGCTTGTAACCTATCGGCACCTGCTGCTTTATTATTCTTCAGCCGATTGATTGCTACTCTGATTTCATCTGAATTTTCCGACAGTGGGGCCAAAGATATTTTCCCTTCCGATTTTTGCATTAAAATCTCATATGCTGTTTCATAGTAGGAGTCTTTGGTCTGCTAATCTTTTCCGGGTGTAGGCAAATAACCTGATGTAGAAGAACTTCGCTTTTTTTAAAGCAATTCGCTCATCTACTGGAGTGAATCTGGAGACGAGGTCTTTTATTCTCCTGTTAACCATAAATCCGCAGCAAAATTCATGGCTCGTTTCATGGAAGCTATAATACAGGGCGTAATCATCTGATTTACTTACGCCTGCCCCTATCCATCGCATTTCCTGTAAGGCAATAATATCGGCTTTGTACTTCTTGATTACATCCGCCAAAGCGAACACTGCGCCTGTTCTGTACAATGTGCGCAAATTCTAAATGCAGATTCGCAGATCGTGGACCTTCATACGTTTGCGGAGGTCGTCAATGTAAGGGGTTTGGTTTTCTTTTTCGCCACTACGTTCAAGGCGTCTATTTATTAAAAATATTTTTGGCTTTTTTAAATTGTTTTTCAAAGCGTGTATGTTTAAAAAAAAAAATTTAGGCCTGAATTTAAAAAAAAAATATGCGTGTTTATTTAATTCGTGGATTTTTTAAAAACATTTTTTCTGTTTACTTTCCAGTCATGGCAAATTGTCCCCATACAATTGGTGTGGAATTCGGCACACGCATCATCGAAGTAGACGATAAGAAAATCAAATTACAAATTTGGGACACCGCTGGTCAGGAACGTTTCAGGGCTGTGACACGTTCATATTATCGTGGTGCTGCCGGTGCTTTAATGGTTTACGACATTACCAGACGTTCTACATATAATCATCTCAGCAGCTGGCTGACGGATACAAGGAATTTAACCAATCCCAATACTGTGATTTTTCTAATTGGTAATAAATCCGATTTGGAGAGTACACGAGAGGTGACCTACGAAGAAGCTGAGGAATTTGCCAAAGAGAATGGTTTAATGTTTTTGGAAGCCAGTGCTATGACGTGAGTAAAAAAATAAATAAATTTTAGAATAACGATTTTAATATCTGTATTTTTTAGGGGACAAAATGTCGAAGAAGCCTTTTTAGAAACCGCACGCCGCATCTACCAAAATATCCAAGAGGGCCGTCTAGATCTCAATGCCTCCGAGTCGGGTGTACAGCATCGTCCCTCACAGCCGGGACGAACCTCGCTGACAAATGAGGCACCCAACAATAAGGATCAATGCTCATGTTAAGCAACCAATAACCCATAACAATAGATTTTTGTGTTTTGTTAATATTATTACTTTCCCCCTCCCCCGAACACACACACATATACATGCATATATATTTTATTATTATTAATACTATTATATGTTATTGAAGTAATATATATATATTTTTTTGTTTGTTAAAAAAAGAAAAAAAGTTATTTACACTTTGTATATTATAATTCTATAAAAAAAACAAAACCCAATTCAATTTATATATATTTCTCCCCCTCCTCCTTCCCCTGTGTTTGTGTGCAAAACAAAAAGAATCACTTTATTATTATTATTAGAATTATATAACTATTTATGAATAAGTATAAAATTGATTATATAAAAAAACAACAACTAGAATATTAGTCTAAACAAAATATACGCATAATATTTAAAATGTGAAAATGAAAAAAAAAAACATTCATAACTTATATAGTGCTCGAAGTAAACTTTTTAGCTAAAAACAAAACCCACTCTTACGAAGATTTTTCATACAGACAAATATTGAAATTCAATTGCCACCACCAAACAACCAACCAAACCCCAAAATAAACAGCAACATGAAACGTAAAATCAATATAGACAAATAAAATCTATTCTTAATCCCTCAGACACTTGTTTAACGAACACACACACATACATCACACGAACAAATAATTTTTAAAATATATAAACAAAAATAATAATTTAAAAAAATGTATTTTCAACACAAATTAAATTTTTCGCCTTATTTGGATTTTAAAATTGAAATACAGTTGTTTCCAAAAATATGGGAAATCAATAAAAAATCCCATTTTCAACATTTTCTTATACCAAATATTTTCAAATATTTTCCCCCAAACATTCTCCTTATGTGACTGTATTTCACATTTCCTTTTGTCTTTGTATAAATATCTACTACCATGTTGGCTGCCGATCATCGAGGTAATGATTTGACGTCCAAAAATTTTGCATTGCCAAGATATGATACGTTTCTTGGTTTTTTGGTATAACATTTGTAATGGCAAGAAGGAAATATAAAAAAACAACAACAATAAGTTAAATAAATGGTAGTTATAGTAAGAAAAATACAACAAACAACAACAATTGTTTTATTGTGTGAAAAATCAAGGAAAACAATTCAGGACAAAAATAAGAACCAGCTGAATCAATTTTTTCAAGACCCCAAGTGGTGTTGGATTTTTTTAAAAATAATTTTTCAAGTCGAGGATTTTTTTTAATATTTTTTCATTGCGTTATTTTTTTAATACTTTATTCAAGACGTAGATTTATTAAAGAATATTTTTTCAATGTCTCAAGAGGCGTGGATTTTTTAAAGTATATTTTTTCAAGACCCCAAGAGGCGTGGATTTTTTTAAGGAATATTTTTTCAAGACCCCAAGATGCGTGGATTTTTTTAAAGAATATTTTTTCAAGACCCCAAGAGGCGTGGATTTTTTTTAAAGAATATTTTTTCAAGACCCCAAGAGGCGTGGATTTTTTTTAAAGAATATTTTTTCAAGACCACAAGAGGCGTGGATTTTTTTTAAAGAATATTTTTTCAAGAGGCGTGGATTTTTTTAAAGTATATTTTTTCAAGACCCCAAGAGGCGTGGATTTTTTTAAAGTATATTTTTTTCAAGACCCCAAGAGGCGTGGATTTTTTTAAAGTATATTTTTTTCAAGACCCCATAAACAGCGTATAGGGCAACCCTGCGGACAGTAGCAACACGTAATGCGATGGAGAACTATCGGGAGAAAAGGAGGGAGGAGAAACGTATTTTCAGAAAGAACAAGAAAAACATGTGCGCGAGCAAATCGAGATGTACATGAGTTAGAATGAAGTCCGAAAATCTACCAACGGGTAAAACACCAAAACGAAGGTTTTGGTGCAGGCACATCCTCCTGTAAAGATGAAGAAGGAAACCTGGTGACAGATATAGACAGCGTGCTGAGGATCTGGAAGGAGCATTTTGAAAAACTTCTAGTATCAAATAGTAGCGGTGAAGAAGATACCCCAGAACCAATAATAGATGACGGTATAGAGTGTATACCACCTAGCCAAGATGAGGTCAGAATAGCAATTAATCGGCTGAAGAACAATAAAGCAACTATTCAAGACTGATGGTCAGATGCTGGCCAGGAGCATGCACCAGCTGATTAGTACAATTTGTCTAGAGGAATGCATGTCCAATGATTGGAACCTCAGCATCCTGTGTCCCGTGCACAAAAAATGGGACAAGACGATATGTGCCAACTATAGAGGAATAAGTCTTCTTCCCATCGCATATAAAGTGCAATCCAGCGTACTGTGTGAACGACTGAAGCCAATGGTCAATGACATTATTGGACCATACCAATGTGGCTTCAGACCTGGCAAATCCACCATTGACCAGATTTACACTCTGCGCCAAATCCTGGAAAAGACCCACAAAAAACACATCGGACACATACAACCTATTCGTCGGACACATACAACCTACTATAATGCCGCATTCCACAGCCCTATCCGTTCAGAGGTGTTTAAAGCTTTGTCTACGTTCGGCATTCCTGCAGTATTAAGGCTATGCAGGACGACTTAAAGTGGCACAGGATCAGCAGTTAAAGTCGGAAAGGACCTATCGGCACCCTTCAATACCGAACGTGGATTCAGACAAGGTGATAGTTTGTCGTGTGATCTTTTTAACATCCTACTGGAAAAGGTCATACGAGAAGAAGAACAGAAATGGCACTCTGTAGACACAACAACACCAGTTACTTGCCTACGCTAATGACATCGACATAATGGGTCGAACATTGAGAGCGGTAACAGCCACCTTTGAACAGATTGAGATGGAGTTTGTAAACGTGGGTCTGGCAGTAAACGGATTTAAAAAAATATTTCTTTTAATTTTCTAGCCAATCGGCAGCATTAAAAAATTAAAGGTCTGGATTAAAAAAAAAACTTTTTACTTCAAGGTCCAGGCAAGCATAGATTAAAAATATTTTTCTGGAGTTATCAAATGCCGGGGAGTTTTTTGCTGAAACTTCTTTTTTTCTGGACCTTCACATCGAAAATATATTTTTTTTTGAACCGGGGTTTTATTAATTTTTTTCATAATAATTAAATATTTTTCTGACATCCTTACAAACCAAGCTTTTCGATAAAAAAAAAATACTTTCCCAGGACCACCCTAGTCGGATGAATTTTTTATATTGACTCAATTTAAAAAAAAACACACAAATACAATTTGGAAAAAAATATATATTACTTTTATTTTCTTTTATATAAAAAATAATTTAAAACTTTATAGCTGTATATAAAAAATAATTAGAAAAAATGGACGTAAAAAAATATTCGACAAGAACACAAGTCTTTTTTACAAAAAAAAAAATTGTATATATAATTAAATAATATCGAAATAATTGTGTGGAATTTGTTCGTGTGTGTATTTCTATATACAGAGTGAAGTGAAAATGTCTTTTGTGTTGGAATTTGTTCTGTGGCGCTTTTGGATGAACTCAGTTCTGGCTTAAATACTATCATCTGTCAACCGTTCTGCAACCCTTTTAACTGGCCGACTGGCTATGTATTCAGAACCTCAACAATATCCCATGCACTCGATTCGTGTTTGGCACACAAATCCATTTGTAAAGCGGCACCGGCCTGAGGTTTATCGGCCCTCAAACATGTACCCGTCGCCATGTTGTAAATGGGGCTACGTTCGTTTTTGGTATGACGCCACTGTTGATCGCCCAACATTTCGTGGCATTTATTTATCACAACCTGGCTATCACCATTCGCCTCCAGACACAGCAGGCGATCGAGAACGAGTTCAGATTTATCGGTTTCATGCCATAGCTGATTGCGTCCCTGTTCACATTTTTCTAAAACTAAAGAGCTGCCTTTTTTCCAAAAGCCTTTAACTTTGGGTGCCACCACTGAGGCACACAAATTGGTTCCTGAGAGTCTTAACATGTAGGTGGAAATGTAGTTGCGTTTGCGGGAGTGCCATGGTTGGAATACGGGTAGCTGCTGTTTTTGATCACTTTTAATGATTTCTTCGCCGGGTATTCTTAGCTCGGGATAGACATTTTTCAAATACCAATCGAAGGATTTACATTGGAGCTTCTCTCGTAGAGCTAGGCGTTCACTGATATCTCCATAATCATAGCTGGGTGATACTTTTTCATGTATCAAATAGAAACGTTTGTAATCATCCATCCAGACATGGGCCAAACGTAGGGAGTTTTTTAGCATGGTATTGGTACCATCAGGGGCGGAGTAGGGTCTGCGTTTGCGAAAGATGTGACCAACTCGGGAGCAGGGTACAATTTTAATAGCACCACCACATTGCCAGACACGAAAAGAGATTTCCAGATTCTCACCACCCCATATATCCATGCCCATGTCATAGCTGCCAATGTAATCGAAATATTTGCGATTGACGGCAAATAGCCCACCGGCCATGGTGGGGGACTTAAAGGGTCCTTGAAGGAGAAGGAAGATGTTTTTAAAATCTCTTCAAGGTATATTTTATGATATTTACTCACCCTTAAAATCCTCCTGATCCTTGAGGGTACCATCCGGCAAATTCTCCCACTTGTAGTGTAGACCCCAGTTGAAACCTCCACGCACCAGAGGACTTGAGGTATACTGGAATGTATCGGGATTGATTAGATCAATAACTGGCACAGCCAAGGTGGAATTTTCGTCACGTATCAAACGCAACAATGGCTCGGCCCATTGTTGATTAACTTCTATGTGGGAATCCAAAAAGATAATCACATCACCCTTAGCCTCACGGGCCCCTATCACCCGCGACCGTATAAGACCCTCTCGTTTCGTATTGCGAATATAATGCAGATTATCATATTTCATTTGGGAATGTAACTCCGCCACCAAATGGAATTCCAACTCCGGAAGATCGCTATAATCATCCACCAGTATTATCTCCTTTAGCAGCCAGGCGGGTGTACGATCTATGACCGATTTTATGGAACGGAATAGGGTCATTTTGTGTTCATTATAAAAACACATTACAATGGAAGCCGTTGGCAGTATTTCAGATCTCTCGGTTGCGGCACGGGGACATACTTTATGCCTTGTATCGGGAACCGGTCGGGTTAGACCAATATTGTTCGAGACCAATGCATTGAAGGCATGCTGCTTATAGCCAATATCACGTATATATTTATCCTGTTTATTGCGTACAATACCCAGCGAGTTGAGCGGATCTTCATCCCCCTCCACAATGGTTAGATTCAGCAAAGGGTTGGGTGACTTTTCCACTTTTTCACTTAGGCATTTCTCCTGCACACGAGCCTCGAATTTTAGCAGCGGATCTGGTGTCAAGGATGCATCGTCCGCAACCGACCATCCTCCCTTTTCAATGTCCGAATGAAGTATATAGAAATAGATGATTAGGGAAGTGATTCCAAACAGAACCAAATAGGTTTCTAGACTCAAGGTTTTACAAATCCGTCTTTTCAGTTGTGGCAGCACCATCTTTTGCTCTTCAATACATGGATGGATGGATGACCTTGCGAACGCAGCACCTTAAAAGTTTGTGAAGATGATCAATGATGGCTTGCAGACTACAAAGACGACGATGGCAGCAACAACAATTTCAATTTTGCAATCATAATTAATTAATAATGAATGAAACCCGTTTATGCGATCCGATTGTTGTTTACGTGTGAGAAGTGAGAGTGAAGAATGAAAAGTACAATGCCGCTTCTAAAATTTTACGGCGTTGCGGAATTGGATTAAATAGCTTCAAAATGTAACTGATAAAACCAGAATCAAAACAAACAAAGATTAGTATTAGTGTATCTTAGGTCGAAAATCGGACCGAATCGGGGAATCAAAACAAATAAAGGAGTTAGGCTGTTATTGTTTTGGATTCGAAAATTGTAAGTTCGATTCGGGCCGAACTTTGTTTACCCTGCACTATAGGGATACTGAAATTTATTTGTATATTAGGTATAGCACCCATTTAAAAGCCTCATAAGGTATAGGGGGCTATACCTAATGATGCTCAAGACTAGTTTAGGGTTCGGTCACGGATAGTTTGGAAATGTTTATAATATGCAGATATTGGGTCCCTGATTACTATCGTATACTTTCTTGCGGAAATCCGTATTTCCAGATACATAGACCTCCAAAGTTCCGCGGGGACCCTTTTATTTTTTCACAAGATTTTTAAAATTTACTAACAGGGGTATCAAAATAAAGTCTTGATTACTAAAATGTTATGTCCTTATCGAAGAAGTCCATACTTCCTGAGACATGGGTCTCCATTATCATTTTATATGTCTTTATTAGTGAATAAATGTATTGGAACACAATGTTTATACCGAGGAGACTATTTTGCGTAGACGGAGTTGTCATCTATCCAGAGTATAAATCCTTAAATCTGAAAGGCATCCCGCGGAATTTTAGAGACTCATATCTCATGGACTTCTTCGAGAAGAAAATTTCAATTTTGTAATCAGAAATTCAAACGCTTTAAAATGACACCCATATTCCCTTAACGAATATTAAAAATCTAGCCGAACTTTAGAAGCCCATATCATCGGAAATTTAAACCATTATATAGTATATAGTATATTCCCGTACTGCAAGAATCTACTACTTTTTACTACGATAACGAATTTTCCTTTATGATATCGAAAAAATAGTAAAATCTAGTCGATTCTTGCAGTACGGGAAAAATGTGAAAACTATTTGCAACCGTCCCCTAAACTAGACTTGTTCCCCTTATGATTGATCAGTGTTCATTACAAGTGGTATGGAGGTTTTTGTGGGTTAATTCGATAATTTCTTGAAAAAAAATTGGCAAGATTTTTAAAATACCGATAATGCAGAAAGCAAGATATTCTTCTCAAAAAAATATTGATTCTTAATAATTTCTTAAAAAATCAGTCAAGATTTTCAAAATACCAAAAATGTGGAGCTATATCAAAGTATGGACTAATATAAATTTATTTTTGACGATTTGCTATTCAGTCCCTACATATCCGACCCATATTACCCTAGAAAAAATTGTCATTAACAAAATCCCTATCTGTTAACTCTACTCCCTAGTAATTCCCTGTCTTGTGGCAACATTTGCCTCTACATATGACAGCCAGCCACAATAACACAACATCATTCACAATAACATTTAGTTTTTGGCATTGTTTGCGAAAAGTGGCGCAATTTTTCGGGTTTTTAGTAATAAATTTGCAATTTGTGTTTGAAAAATATATCGATATTGAAAACGTTTTGAAAAATGGATTCAATAATTGTTGATAAACAAGCGCCATCATTTAATATGGATACAAATGGCCGGAGAAATTTTATACGTTTCTTTAAGTCGCTGGGTGAGGTAAGTGTGTTCGTGTTTTATCTTGCTCGGATGTGAATGGAGTTCCTAGGGTTTTCCAAAGGGATTTTTATGTGATTTGATTGTTAAAAAAGAGAGGAAGAAGGCATATTTTGGGGCAACATTTGGATTGCTTTGAAATTATTGCGTAATAATATTGCACGAGCTTTGAAGGACCGCATCTCGGTCCTCCACTCGATTCAGGATCAGAAGACTATCTCTTCAGCCATTTCCATAGCAAAAGTAATGATAACATACATGCCTCTCCGATGCCATACATATATGGATGGCTTCTGGTTTATAACCAGAGGTACACAGTGGAGGTCGGGAGATTGCCACCACAAGGATATCGGAAGATTGTCACAGCTCGTCAGACATCATCATAGTGACAGTAGGTCTTATAATTTTAATTAATATTATCTGACTACCCATAATTTCTTGTACTCAGACTACCTATCAGTTTTCGTCCCTTTTACCGCTGAACGGCGAAAAATCTATGAACCATTGATAATCTGGTTGGCAAGGTTTCAGAGAGTTTCACATCTCCTCAAATTCTCAGGTGAAATTATTGTAAAATCAACGGGATGAGCTTCGTGTTACGACGCCTGAAGACCCAAGGGGAGATAACATACTCTTACTGGAACTTGTACATTGTGGGCAACGGCTAAATTAAATCCTTCTAACTTCTTTAATATTTTCCCCAATCTTTTTTTAGAAACCCTCTACCACCGTTCGTTTTTTCGATCACAATGATTCCTACAGCGTTCATGGTAAAGATGATACAAATCTAATTGCACGTATGGTTTATAAATCCACTGCCTATATCAGCGAAATGATACCCGATGATCCATCGTCAATACCCTATGTTACATTGGCAAAAAATAAATTTGAATCGGCGGTTCGTGAACTTTTACTCGTACGTAATTATCGCGTTGAAGTGTATGTACGTCGATCGATCGGTAATTCAGATTGGAATGTTGAATATCGTGGTTCTCCGGGTAATCTTCTACAATTTGAAGATATTATTTTCACCAACAAGGAGGAATTGGTGGGCAATAGTATACTCTCGTTAAAAATGAATATGAATAATAATGTGCGCAATATTGGAGTTGTTGCTGTGGAACAAAATGATTGCTTGTTTCAAGTATTGGAATTTGTGGATGATGATTTTCTAACGGAGTTGGAGGCAACAGTGGTGTTGCTGGGACCCAAAGAATGTCTGCTGCCATCACAAGAGGGGGAGGTAAAATATTTTAAAGTTGTTTTTATTTTAAATTAATTTTTAATTTTCTTTCAGTATGAATCTGTTAAAAATCTCCTGGAACGCAATGGTATTATGGTCACAGTGGCATCTAAATCCCAATTGGCTTCAGAGAAACATAATTTGGTCCAAGATTTAAATAAATTATTGAGGTTTAATAAAGGCCAACAAGAAGATGCAGCCGGACTGCCTGAACTAACATTGACCGTGGCAATGGATGCCCTAAAATTGGCAATAAAATATCTGGCCTTAATGAACGACAGCAGCAATTTGGGTCATTATAGATTGCAACAATTGAATTTGAAACGATTTGTGCATATGGATTCGGCCGCAATTAGTGCTTTGAATATTCTGCCCAAACCAGGAACTCATATCTCATCTCCCTCCTATCGTTGGCAAAGTATTTTAGGTGTATTGGATCGTTGTAATACACCACAGGGCCATCGTTTGATGGCCCAATGGGTTAAGCAGCCTCTACGTAGTCGTGAAATTCTAAATGATCGCCATGACATTGTCCAATGTTTTTTGGAATCACCAAATTCTTTGAATTCCTTACATGAAGATTTTCTAAAACGCATACCGGATATTTTAATGTTAACCAAGAAGTTATTACGCAAGAAAGCCAATTTGCAGGATATTTTCCGGGTGTATCAAGTATTATTACGTACCCCTAAGATTATTAATCTGTTGAAGTCTTTGGAAAATTCGACAGTGAATAATGTCCTTTGCGATCCCATGAAAAATTACTTGGAAGATTTATCGGGCCTGAAACAAATGGTGGAGCAGGTTATGGATTTTGATGCCATTGAAAATGGAGAATATCTGGTAAAGGCTTCATTCGATTCAGATTTATTGGATATGAAGGAACGTATGAATCATCTGTTGGAGAAAATGGAACGATGCCAGGATAAAGCCAATCGTGATTTGAATTTAGATAAAAATTCAGTGAAATTGGTAAATGTTCCAAATGTGGGTTATACACTACGCATAACTCTTAAAGATGATACGGTGCTGCGTAAAAATAAAGAATATAAAATTCTTGATGTCTTGAGGGGTGGTATACGTTTTACAACCGATAAGCTATCATCGATAAATGATGAATTTGTAACACTGCGTTCCCAATATGAGGAACAGCAAAAGACCATTGTTGAGGAAATCATAAAAGTTGCTGTGGGTTATGCCAGCCCCTTGACATGTTTGAATAATGAATTTGCTCAATTGGATTGTTTGGTTAGTTTTGCCATTGCTGCCCAATCGGCACCTATACCATATATTAGGCCGAAAATCTTGGAAGAAGGTTCGGGGGAGCTTGTACTTAAAGATATTAGACATCCTTGTTTGGAATTGCAGGAGCACATATCCTTTATTGCCAATAGTGTGGAGTTTAAAAAGGGTGAGTACAAACTAGCGAGGATTTTTTAAAAATATTTTTCAAGGTCTATTCATAGGCGTAGAAATGCTATTAAAAATTTTATTATGTATAAAATTATTTTCTCTTTTCAGATCTTTGCAATATGTTCATTATAACTGGTCCCAATATGGGTGGCAAATCCACCTATATTCGCTCCGTTGGCACTGCCGTACTAATGGCCCATGTTGGCAGTTTTGTTCCCTGCTCGGAGGCCACAATTTCCATGGTTGATTCCATATTGGGTCGAGTCGGAGCCAGTGACAATATTATTAAAGGCTTGAGTACCTTTATGGTGGAAATGATTGAAACTTCGGGCATAATTAGGGTAAGAATTAGAAAATTTAAAATTATTTTCGAACAGTTTTAAAAAATTATTTTTTTATTCTAGTCTGCCACCGAAAAATCCTTGGTAATTATTGATGAATTGGGTAGGGGAACCTCCACCTATGAAGGTTGTGGCATTGCCTGGTCCATAGCAGAGTAAGTTGGGATATTTTGTTGTTATTATTTTAAAATTATAATAAAAATTTTAACTCTTTTTCAGACACTTGGCCAAGGAGACAAAATGTTTTACGCTATTTGCAACACATTTCCACGAAATAACCAATCTCTCCGAAACTGTACCGACAGTGAAAAATTGCCATATGGCTGCCATAGCAGATAATGAAAATTTTACATTGCTATATCAGGTGCGACCTGGTGTAATGGAAAAAAGTTTTGGTATACAAGTTGCACGTTTGGCTAACTTCCCCGAAAAAGTTGTATGCAATGCTCAACAAGTCTATAATGAATTTGAAGATGAACATGCCGATAAACAGAGTGGTGATGACAAAGCCCTACTGGAGAAAATAAATAAGGCCATTGAAAATCTATCGACTACGGGAAATAATGTCGACATAAATGAAAATGATTTATCCAAATTGGTTGAACAATTTACCCAAGATATACGCAAATTGGATAGTGAATATTTTAAGTGTGTTTTGGCCACAGCTGGTGCAACGGCAGCAGCAGAATAGTGTTTTAAGTCGTTTTCTTAAATTTAATTGTTTTGTTTTAAAAACATTTCTTTTAATTCTCTTGTTTTCACTCAAAAGTGAATTTTCGTTTCAAAAGGTAATTATATATAATTTTTTGCCCGGGATGCTATTAGTATTTAAAACAGCAAGGGATTACCAAACATATACGTCCATAAAATGGCCACATTTTAATATTCTTGAAATATTGAATATTGAAATAAATCACTGATTATATTGCGTAATGAACGTATCTGTTTTGTTTTCTCTTTTGCTGTTTACATAGAATTTTAAGTTATTATATGAGCTAAGCATTGTTTTATTTTTCTTATTAATTTTACAGTAAGAATAAGAATTACCAAATTTAAATGAACCTGCTGAATATATTCAAGAATCAAAATTAACAATTTTTAACAATAAATCCGGTGAAATATTTCAAGACTCAAGATTTCCTCAAAAATAAATTGCAAGAAATTTAAAAAAATATACACGTAAGGTAAGTCCAACTTTTTGAATTATTTTCTTATATAAAATATTGTATAAATTTTCCAAAAATGAAGGACGATATGCAAAGTTTTGAGTAATTTTTCCGGGACGTTCCGAAAGCGATGATTTGAATTTTTATTAAAAATATGTTTTAAGGGTTTTATCAAAGGTGTGGATTTTTTAAAAATATTTTCTAGCCTCTTAACAAAGGCGTGGATTTTTAAAAATATTTTTTACTTACTTAGCTTCCTTGTGACATAACTTTCGTTCCATAAGCCGAGCTTAAAAAAGATTTCCAGGCGAGTCGGCCTTTTGCGCAGTTTTTCCAGTTTGAAAGATCATATTTGGCAATGTTGTCCTCCACTTGAACTTTCCATCTTATTCGTGGTCTTCCCCTTCTGAGTGAACCATAAGCCGGTTCGCTTTTATATACCTTTTGGGCTGGGGCATCTTCATCCATTCTCACAATAGCTCAACACGTCTACAACTCATGGCTCATTCGACGGCGATATGCACCGTCAACGCAGATCGGTCCATAAATCTTTCGGAGATTTTTTCTCTCAAACACTCCAAGAACTGCCTCATCTGCTTGCGATAGTACCCATGCTTCAGATTCATATAATAGCACGGGTAGTATCAGCGTCTTGTAGAGTGTGAGTTTGGTCTGGCGTGATATGGCCATGCTTATGACTTGCTTACTCAGACCACAGTAGCATCTGTTGGCCAACTATCCTTCTCCGAATTTCAAAACTGATGTCATTCGATTTATTTATTGCAATAGGTCCTTTCCGATGTTAACTGCTGACCTTGTGCCAGTTAAAGTTATTCTGCATATCATGGTCCTTTCTACGTTTGCGAGGGTTGTCAACATTGGGGGGGTTTGGTTTTCTTTTTCGTTGCTTTTTTATAGTAGGAGGGGTTTTCCGAGTGTGGACAACTAACCCGACGCCTCAACCCATTTTTTATAGTTCTTATGGGTGAACTCGCGGCACATATTAGCTCACTATTTCAACGGGTGATGAAAGTAGTTACCCCAGGTGACACCGCGGGGAGGTCAGTGTCTGCCACAATTGAGATGAAGAGGGACCAAGATAAGCCTGGACTTTGCCATGTTAAAGCCAATCAGAACCGTTACTTGGTATCTATCATCCCCTACTTACCTTCAAAAAAGTATAACCATTAAAATTTAAATTTGCTTATATTCTTTAAACAATTGGTCTTTGTCTTTATTAAATTTACTTAAAATTAAAACAATTTTTTTATATATATTTTTGGGATTTTATGCATATTACATATACATATGTATGTGTGTGTTTTTCTGTTTTATATTAAACATTTCAAAAATAAATATATATCATAATTTTTATATTTTGTTATTTTTCATCTATACATCTCTTTTAGTTTATAAAGTACACAGATTTGGATAACCATTTAGAAATATTTTTTTTTTTAAGTGAAACCCCTATTGCTCGATTTACAATTTGAGGTGTTAGATTCCAAAACTGTTCCAAATATTACAATATTTTTTTAAACCAGTTCAAAAGTCAGCACTTCCAAAATCTATTTTCCAATCTATCTTCTTCTAATCTAGAATCTCTGTTTGTTTGTCAGGGATATTTCGAGGTGGTTGGGTGTTTTGGGGGGGAATTGTCATATTTTGTATTCCTGTGGGAATTTTGATGGGGGTATTTCGAGTCGTTTTACATTTGGGGTTTGGCTTAATTTGTTTACAAAAATATATATAAAGGCATTTAAGGTTTCAAAATTTGTATTTTTTTCTTTTTGGTTTCTTGTTTTTTTAAGTACTAAAAAATTTAACTGGACGAAAAAAATAATTTTATAAATATTTATTTTTAGTTGTTTTTTTTATTAATTTCTAAGAAATATAAGGCTTCTTGTTTTTTTGTTTTATTTTATAAATCTAGGACTCATTACGATTTGGCTATTTTTTTGTTGTTAGGTGGTAATAGACTAGTAGTTTCTTTTTTTGTTCTTGGCGTTATCATAATCCTTGTGGGTATAAAAAATATTTTTTTTAAAGGAAAAAAAATATTTCATAAAAAATCTATATATTTGTTTTTACAATTAAAATTATAAAAAATATTTTTACCGAACTTTCTACCAAGTTCATAGATTTTTTTCTTGTTATAACAAATAAAACTATAAATTAAAAAAACATTTAACTATTTAAGAGAGTGTGTGTGTAAGGCTTCATCTCCTTCTATTTTTTTTTTCATTTTTTATATGGACGTTGGACGTATTACACGGCTTAAAAACTAACCGCTTCTTTTTGGCATTTAGTTCTGTAAAAACAGTATTTTCTTTGGTACTTTATTTTTTGGCAAAATTGTTGTTGGAATTGAGTGTTGTGTTGTTGTGGTTGTTGTGATGACCTCACACAAAAAAATAAATTACAAAAAAATTGGACTAACAGTTCAGTTTGTTTTTGATTTTCTTCATTTATAATTTCCCCGTATTTTAGGCCTGCAACAAACGCACCATTAATACAATTGTCATTCCTATGGTCATGAGGATCATGCTAAAGGTAATTGATGAAGCATCTCCACAATAGGTATAAAGGGCCTCCTGCAAAAAAAAAAAAAAAAAAAAAAAAAAAAAAGAAAATAAAAATAAATTATTGCATTAAAAAATATAAAAAATATGTTAAGGCATCTTAAGTAAGAAAAATAATTTTAAAAATATTTTTTAGGACATATTTAATTTTTTTAAAATATTTTTTTTGACCTCCCTAGTATGGAGGGTATATTAATTTTCAAATTCCGACCCTATAAAGTATATATATTCTTGATCAGGGTTAAATTCTAAGACGATCTAGCCATGTCCGTTCGTCCGTCTGTTGTAATCACGCTATGTTCTGAAGGAATTGAGATATAGTGCTGAAATTTTGAATAGGTTTGTCTTTTGTCTGCAGGCAGGTCAAGTTCTGAAGGAATTGAGATAGGGTGCTGAAATTTTGCATAGGTTTGTCTTTTGTCTGCAGGCAGGTCAAGTTCGAAGATTAATATACCCTCCATAGTATGGAGGGTATATTAATTTTCCGTATGTAACTCGTTGAAATAATAATTTCCGACTCTATATATAGTATATATATTATTGATCAGCGTAAAATTCTATGACGATATAGCCATTTCCGTATGTCCGTCTGTTGTCCGCCTGTCTGTTGTAATCACTCTAGCGTCTAAACGAATTGAGATACCTCGCCAAAATTTAGCATAGAGTCATCTTTTGTCTGCAGGCAGGTCAAGTTCGAAGATGGGTTTTATAAGTCCACGTATAGGCGTAGGTCCCATATAAGGATACTCCCCATTTTCGATATATTGGGGTTCTTTAGCGAGTTTTTGAAATGTTCTACATTCTTATGGGATACCAAATATCTACAAAAAAAATTATAAATATTGGTCCACTTTAAAATTATGAGTATAGGTTCATTTTTTCGGATAGCCCCCATATAAGGATACCCCCAATTTTCGGTATTTTGGGATTCTTGAGTGCGCTTTTCAACCGAATTTGCTGCAATTTGGTATTTTGTAGTCGTATATGGTAGTCCCCTTTTTATAACCTTCACCACACTGTTGTACGGGGTATTATGTCTTTGTGCATATGTTTGTAACAGGCAAAAGGAAACGATATAGACACATGGTTCCTTTTGAGTATATGCATAGAATCACTTTCTGAGTCGATATATGCATGTCCGTCCGTCTGTCTGTCCATGTTAAATTTTAAACAAAGTACAGGTCGCATTTATGATCCGAATTGGATGAAATTTGGCACAGCTCATTTATTTGGCCCATGGACGAGCCCTATTGAAATTGAGAAAAATCGTTTCAGATTTCGATATAGGTCCCATATATATTTACGTCCGATTTTAGATATAGTCCCTAAATATCCTCGATTTGCACGAAATTTATATACGTGTGTTAAATTTCGTAAAAATCGGTTCAGATTTAGATATAGCTCCCATATATATATTCGTCTGATTTAAGGTAAATAGTGCACCAAAGTCCCTAAATATCATTCGATTTGCACGAAATTTGGCATAGCGTACTAAATTGAGTCAAACATTATGTGTGCTAAATTTCATGAAAATCGGTCCAGATTTAGATATAGCTCCCATATATACTTTCGCCCGATTTAATGTAAATGGTGTACCAAAGTCCCCATATATCTTTCCATTTGGACGAAATTTGGCATAGCGTAATGAATTAGGTCTAGAATGATGTGTGTTAAGTTTTTTGAAAATCGGTCCAGATTTAGATATAGCTCCCATATATATTTTCGTCCGATTTAAGGTAAATGGTGCACTAAAGTACCTAAATATATTTCGATTTTCACGAAATTTGGCACAGCGTACTGAGTTAAGTCTAGAGAGACGTGCGATGAATTTCGTAAAAATCGGTTCAGATTTAGATATAGCTCCCATATATATATATATATATATATATATTTTCGTCCGATTTTATGTAAATGATGGCAAGCGTACATATGATTTGATTTGTACGAAATGTGTGCTCCCACATATACATATATAACTGGTGCACCGAACTGCTAATGTTTGTCCGATTAACACGAAATTTTGTTAAAAACATTTTAAGGACTTTTTAATTATTAAAAAAAAAAATTTTTTTAATTTTTTTAAGTTTTAATATTTAAAAAATATTTATCTTATTTTTTTAACTTTTCTACTCACATTTTCATCCTCCGTAAAACATTCCTCGATGCGGCGCCGTTCATAGAAACTCATATTCAATTTATAGCAGGGAAATTCCGTATCATATACCACCATGGTGGGTTCAACTGATAAATCAATGTTACCCTTTGAGGGTTTCAGCACATCTATAACTATTAGCAGCAGATTGGAATTGGGTATTTTCTTGACGTGGAAAGGTCGGCTATTGGGTAAATGTGTAAAATCACGTTCCTTTTGTACCTCCACGGGGTCTAAGGTGAAGAGGCGCACTTTCTTATCGCATGGTACATAGACTGGTTCTGGTGGGGGTTCATGGAAAATGTGTTCCTTTTCTTCGCCATCACTTTCACTCTTGGGTTTTACCTCTACATAGGGTTCATTTAGGCCGCTGTAGTCATCTTCTACATTGTCGCTGTAATCGAGATCTGAAGAGGGGAGAAAAAGGGAAAGAGGGGGATTAAATTAAGAAAATTTAAAGGGGTGTGTTGTGGATCTTACATGGTGCTCCCTGGGCCCACATTTGTATGCGACTGTAATGCCAAAACACCTTGGCCACCAACCATTTCCAGGCCATGCTCAGCAGTTGCAGGGGCTGCAGATTAGAAAAATAAATATTTGAATTTGTTTAGGAGTTCTGTGGACTTCCGATTTCCCCCCTACTGACTTACATGTAGCATGGTATTGGCATCATTGAATCGATCTGTGCTATTCGGACACAGTGATTGATAGTCATAGACAATAATCTCCTTAAAATAGTTTGCATCCACCATGGCCTGCATAATTTCGGCATGATATTCCCCAAAGAAGATACCCGTGTGGTTGGGGTTATGGGCCAATATTATATAGCCATTATTGTCAATGACATAGCATTCCTTTTCATCGCTGTTGCAGGTCTTTATGCAGCCATTGCACTGGAAAAAAGAGAACAAAAATTAATCCCTTTCACTCTCCCCCGTTCTCTCTCAATTTCTCTTCCAGAAGCTACTCACATTATCCATACTCGTGATATTGTAGAATCTCTCATACATCAGGGCATAGGAGAATTGAAAACCCACCACACAGGCTGGGGCCTCTTTGCCACCATCCCTGGGGAATATGGCATGTGAAGCCATTACCTGTAGCTGTTTGTGCTCCTGAGGATCGGCAGCATGTTTGACCGAATAGACAAAGGTTTCCGTTAGCTCTGAGTGATGTTGCAAAATGGCACTACGATACCAGGTCTCATCAATGGCCTTTGTATGATAATCACCAAATTCCCGATCATTATTATTTTCCTCTTCGGCATAGATAAATTGCCAGCGAGTTAGACCGCTCATTGTGGCCACAAAACGTTGACTGGCCCCAAAACGTTCGATCAGGGCACGTTCTTCATCGTTTTTAAATTTCCAAACCCCATAACTGGAATAGGTCACCTTGGCATCGAAAATTAGCAACTGGACCAGCTCCTTATTGCAATAATAAGCATCCTCATCCAGATTGGTGCGGCTGCAGTTTCCTAGATGAATTAGAAGGTCCATTAAATTTATTTCCTTCTTGACTTAAGGGAGGTTAGTAGGGAAATTAGGGGTCTCCTTAAATCAGAGCTTACTTCTTCTGGTACGAAATTTTCTTCTTGCTGCTTTGCAGTAAAAAAAGTACAATACAACATAACCTCATTATTTTTTATTTTCAAAAAATTTTAACTATTTTTTTCTATTTTATAGGATATAAAAAATTACAAATCTACAAAATGGAGGGTTAACTTATAAAAATTTTTTGCTCTTAATGGGCTCAGGCTAAATTATAAAGCTAATTTTCATATCCAACTTAAACTTTAATCTAAAAGAAATTATGGTCCATTCTTTCCCCTGGGTTGTCCATGGTGCCTAGGATTCAAAATCTTCTACCAGTGCTCTATATTTTCTCTTTAAAAATTCAAAAATCCACTCTATTAACTTACCATTCCCCTCACTATCCACATCATCCTCATACTGTTCATACCAACCCCAATCGGGTTGGACCATTTTCTTCAAAAAATGTCGCAGCTCATCTTCGGGCGTTTTAAATTCATGCCCCTCCAAATAATGATATTTACAATAGACCCAATCGGGATGCACTTTCCAATTGTCGCCCGTAAAGAAATCCGATATATTCACTTTCATATGAATATTTTTTAAAACTTCATCGCCGACTTTAATCCACGTCTTGCCATAGGTACTGGGCAGGACAATTCCCAAACTAAAGGGGGTATTGGGGAGGGGAGCAAAGAAATAATCTTGCTGCTGATCGATGACACGACGCATTTTATCATAATGCATTTTAACGCTGATGCCTATGAGTTCTCCTGTTTCATTGTGCACCAAACGTTCACGTAATTTTAAAATCAAGGGACCCGGTTCACGTGGTATATCATCTTCAGAAAGTTGTTCCACCTCGGTGAAATCGATGCTATTGTAATTGGGATTCATGACTCCGTTGTACTGTGAAGAAAATATTTTCATTATAAAATGTAGCTTTCCAAATCTGTTGAAGGTATCCACACTTACCCCAATAGGCCTTAGATCGGGATGCAGCAGCACATAACCATTATTAGAGACCACAAATGAATAACCATTTACACCCAGCTGAAAAAAAAACGAAATTATATTTCAAGCTTCATAAGGCAATGAACAATTTTCAAAATTAAAAAAAATTAGAAATATTGGACTAGGTCCCCTCGAGGTTGTATAAAAAGTTCATGAAGAACAAAATCGGTAGGAGCACAATATTGAATTAGTCAACATAAAACACTCATTGATTTAAACAAATTTATACTGAAGGCATGAAAAAACGCAGTTCTCATGCCCAACATAATTTACCGGAACCGCGTGGACATTACAGACTTTTTCCGGTCGAGGAATAAGGGATTTAATTTCCCAGCAGAGGCGTTTGGACTAATCAAATGAGGGTGAATGAGCGGTCTTCAACAGTATGCCGCCTGATTTCATCTCCTCCGAGTGCTGCACTTTTCTTAACCATAAGAAACGTGTAGTAGAAATGGAATTCTGGTATTAGAACTGCAGACTCTAGATTAATCCTTCTGGTCGAATAAAAATGAGCCCTAATTTCCCAGCAGAGGCATAATCGTCTCCATCAGCAGACCGCCCGATTTTATCACATCTGAACGCTGCACTTTTATTAGCCACAGGAAAGCCAACTGGCAGGATTTTAGAGAGGATCGTTTCCGACATTTTTTCTTTATTCTGATGTATGGGTATCAGAAAGGGAATTAATCCCTCTCGTTGAACACCCGAAATGTGACTAATATCCCAGAAGAGGTAGTTGGACTAACCAAATGAGTCTGAAAACTCTGAGAGTTCGCAAATCATCTTTTCAGAGAACTTTCCATTCCTTCTTAAAGGAAATTACGTGGCATCATTACAACTGCAGCCGTTAGATTTAATCCTTCTAATCGAATACCCGAAATGAGACCTAATTTCTCAGCTTTAACCATGGTGTACCATTCCCTATGTGTCGACCAACGCCCCATTGGAATAATTCAGAGTAATCAATGAGTACCTTGGAGCTAGTCCTCCAATACCAATTCTATGATCTAGCATAACGGCTTAACTTCCCCCTTGGTGACAAGTCGAACACTATCTAAACCTCTGCCTTTTTATGGGTCAAACATAAACCAACAACCCCCAGCAGAGGCATGAATCCTGTGGGTTTTAAATGATTCCCACCTTAACGGCTTTAAACATGGTGCACCATTGGGTGTCGCAATAGAGCGTCGACCAGCGCCCAATTGGAAAAGCCTAGAGCACTCAATGAGCACTCTGAAGCAATCCGTCGGTACCAATTCGAAGATCTGCTGCAAAGGACTACCCCAGCAGATGCAGTTGGACTAATCAAATGAGCGCCATCGATCTAACCTAGCAGATCCCAGGGAATTTACTTTGTAGGTCAGCAGATTAGTCGCGAAGCATAAGCGGAATAATTTGTTAGAGCATCTGAAGTATTGCTAAATCGGAACTGGTGTGAGTAAACTATGGGCAACGATTAAGTCGTTCTCGAACCCTAGTAAGAAGGATCTTCAGGTCCTCAATCACATTTAACGACGAAACTGTGACTGATCCAGTTATTTTAACCGACGGTTTGTCGAGTATCACGAGAGCGACAGGACGAAGCGAAAAGTACTACGTCGTATAAGATCTCATCCCGCCAAGGATGTACCACCACAGTTTACAATGGGTGAAGTTGCATCTGTCATCCAAAGCGTTGTGCCGTGACGGAATATCTACGTTTATACTGAAACAGCTAGATGAGCCAGGTGTTGAGTACCTTACCAAAGTCTTCAATTTCTTGATAGCCACCCACGTCGTTGCCGAAGCTTGGACGGACAATGGGCCGGGTTGTCCCGCTAATGAAGCCAGGCATGGATGTCAGCAAAGGTGAATGTTACATGCCGATTTCACTTTTGTCACCAGTAGCGAGGAATATGAAAATATCTTTGGTCACATTGTTCACCACATGGAGATGAAACTTCGGAAATGAAAGTGCCATTGTATTTGAAGGTCGAGGGGCATACAATTCCCACCACCAATTGCCCAAAAATCCTCGAGGTCATATTCGACAGAATTTTCAAATTGCCCGCGCAAAACACAGGTATTGGCGATAAATTGGAAAGTAGGATCAAAGTCCTCAAGTTGCTTGGCTGGCAGCACTTGGAATGCGCATAAGGAAAAAAAGCGATAGGTCGGTAGTAAATCTTCGTAGTAAAATATTATTATTGGTCCACCTTTTAGGAATCTCTCATAACGCTACATTCCTGAGATCAGTATTTTGAGAAGCTTGAACATGTGTTTCAAGCAATTTTGAATGAATTTAATACTTTGGATTGTCAGGGAGTACAAAACGTCCCTACCAAAAATTTTCAACATTGGTCCATGTTTCCGGATAGCCCCCATTATTCGGGATTTTGGGGGGTTTGGGAACGTTTCCCAAACGAAATCGATCTAATTTGGGTTTTCAGGTTCTAATGGGGTGTCAAATCCTCTTACTAAATAAATCATAACTTCGAGGAAGAAAAAGCTCAAAATTTATTGCAACGGGCTATTATCGGTTTTCTTATCTAAACATCCGGTTCGAAAATTTAGAAACCCGGTTTTTTCTTCCTTGAAATTTGTTTATTTCATTGCCATTTCAAATCAATTTCGCTCCAACCTTATGTGACAATATCAACTTTTTCAATATATCAATTTCAAGAGAAATCGAATCGGGTTTTCAAAAATTTTGAACCCGGTTTTTCTTATTTGATTTTTTTGTTTCATTGCAATTTCAAATGTATTTGAAATCCTTACCTTATATGGTAAAGTCAGCTTATCAATATCCTCCACTGGGACATCGGTGCCAGCAACACCCAATAGTCGAGCCTTTTTCGTTGAATTCGGTTTCAAATAGGAACGATCAAAGGCCGGTACACCCACTGCGATCATTAGACGGGCATTTGTAGAATTTCCCTCGGGTTTATACTGTTTGGCAGGAATGAAAAGAATTTCAATATTTTAGAAAATTTTCCGAAATTTTTTTCTACAAACCGTTTTATCCGTAAATGCATGGGTCCACGTTGGCGGATGATCGACATCTTGCAGTACCAGAGGTGTTGCTATGACATCTACATATTTCAACGATTCATCTTGGACCTCATCCAGTGTCTGAACGTGAGAATAATACCCTCGATTTAAACATGCCATCCATTGTATTTCTTCGACTTTGGTAACCTCCTTGCCCAGAAGATAGGTAAATATTCGAACATTCATACTCATTGTGCCATTTTCACCATCACCCCAGTTATAGGTTTCAAAAACTTCTGTGGTATTGCCAGCCACACCATCTGTGACCACCATAATGGCCTGATTACATTTGTGGGTCGTGTTGCAGTCACGTTTTATGTAGTACTAGGAGGGGGAGGAGGAGGACATAAGAGTTAAGAGATTAAAATATTAAATTTGGAATAGGGGAATAAAAATTATTAGATTGACCTCGGATAATATTTTTTTCATTATTATTCTTCCAATAGAAATCGGAATTTTTTCATTACTTTTTTCAAATTTAATTTCCCATTTCTATTAAAGAATAATTTTTTCTTCTTCTTCTATTTTTGAAAATTCACCTCTTTAAGCAATTCAAAGGCCTTGGTATATGCTATTGTCAGATTTGCATATCCCGTGGGTTTTAATTTGCTTATGGCATGATTAAAAACACGAATATTTTCCGGGGTTGCCTGGACCAGGGCATCCTTGAAACAGGGTATAACATCATCCACCGTAGCGGAGTAATTGAAAATCGTAAAGAAATCATTATTGGAGAAGGTATCCAAAATGCTGCGTATTGTAAATTTCGCCACATGCTGCGGGAAGCCCACCATGGACCCTGAGTTATCCAAGAGAATTACAATATCCTTGGAACAGGTGGCCGTTTCAATATACCAGGACCGCTTGCGGCAATCATAGATATCAGCATTGCTATCCTCATCCGATTCATCCCATTGTATGGCAGGAAAATGTCTTAAAATACCCGTATCCGAACCAAAATATTGCCAGGACAAGGCCGGATCGGATTTGTAGTTTTGCCTAAAAATCTCATCCAAGGCCTCAGTCCACATAATTGCCTCCAGAACAGGGGGATCTAAAAAATAACAAAATTAATTATTTTCTCCTGACTTCCCCTCCCCTTTCCCCTCCTCTCATACTCACGTTTATCATAAACATTCGACGGCACATGCACCGCACTATGTTCCGTATCCACTGAAATATTATAGAAATGTGTATCTGGATTCAATTCAAAATCTTTGTACATATTGGCATTTGTCTCTGCCAAGGCTCCAATCAGCTCCTCCGAACTATGATTTTCAAATTTCGAAAATTTACTCGAATAATATGTGAAATTCTCAGCCTCTGTTTCGTTAAATACAAAATTTTCATATTCCCTCTCGGCCATTTCCATGATACAGCGCACAGCCTCCATCTTGCGGGCCAACATCCGGCCTACATTTTTCGTTATCGATTGTATCAGCTCTTTGCCATTTTTGAACTCCACACGGGCATTGTATTCTTTGTATTTCTAGGGATCCAAAAGAATTTTTATGATCAGGAAATAATTCAGGGCTTAAAGAGTCCGATTACTTACCGCTTTAATTTCTTTTGATTTGGTCATTATCTGGGCGAGCTCCCACAGTTCGTCACCAAATTGACTGGCCCATTTTGCAACACTGAAATGAATGAAAAATCCAAAAATTGTAATAAAAAAGTAAAAACTTCATTAAGTTCGGACGGCCGAAGTTTTTGTAACTTCCACTAGGGGATAGACGTTCAAAAATCTTAAAATCGATGGGTATCTTTATAAGGAGGCTATGACCACGAAATACCTAACTACAGACCCTTAGGATGGAATAGTGGGTAAAAATACCAAAATTAATGGGTACCTTAGATGCTTAGAGGGTACCTTAGGTAGGGGCCTATACTAAAACGTGGACCAATATTGATTATTTTTGGAAAGAGTATTTGGGACCTAATGAGAACCCAAAGTATCACATTACAGCCATTTTTTCGAAAACGTGTCCAATCTCTCCAAAAAATCTGAGGTTCATCCTAAAACTTGGACCAATATTGATAATTTTTGGTAGAAAGACTTGCTACCCACTGAGATCCGAAAATACTAATGTATAGCCAATTTGAATGAAAAGCGTGTCCAAAGTCCCCAAAGTATCTAAATTTTGAATATAACCTTGTAAGCGGGCCATCGTGAAAAGTGGACCGATATTCATAATTTTTGGTAGGCATATTTTTTATCCAATGAGAACCCAAAATACGAAATTACAGCCAAATTGAATGAAAAGCGTATCCAATATCAAAATTTCGAAGGTACCCCTATATGGGGGCTACCCTAAAAAGTGAACCAATATTGGTAATTTTCGGTAAGAAGATTTATTACAAAATCAGAACTAAATATACCAAATTACAGACAATTTGAATGAAAAATGTGCCTAACCTCTCGAAATTATCGAAATTTTTAAGGTATCCTTATGGGAGGGCTACCCGAAAAAGTGGTCCGATATTTGTAATTTTTGGTAGGAGGATATTCTATCCGATGATACCCCGAAATACAAAATTGTAGCCAATTTGAATGATAAATGTGCCCAATCTCCCGAATTAATCGAAAAATTTCAGGTATCCTTATGGGAGGGCTATCCGAAAAAGTGGACCCATATTCATAATTTTGGTAGGAATATGTTCTACCCACTGAGAATCCAAAATGCCTAATTACAGCCAATTTGAATAAAAAGTGTGCCCACGCTCCCCGAATTATCGAATTTTTGAAAGTAACCCTGTGGGAGAAGGCTACCTGAAAAAGTGGACCAATATTAATATTTTTTGGAAAAAAGATTTTCTGCTCAATAAAAATCCAAAAGTCTTAGTTTCAGCCAATGTAAATGAAAAGTGAGCCCGAACTCCTCAAATAATCTCTCGTAGGAACTAGGATTATTGGCTTTGCTCAAAAATCAACAAAATTGCGGACATTTAAAAAAATATTTTTGAAAATCGCATATTTCTTTTACCACAAACTAAGTTAAAAAATAAGGAAATTCTCGACTGATTGGCTTTATCCTAGTTCGTACGATAGCTGTACACTCGCAGAGAAACGTGTCAAAATTTGGAACCGATTGGATTATTAATTTTTCAGTTATCGTGCCCGCCATTCGTAAAAACACTGCTTCGAGAAAAATGCGTATAAAGTTACAGAATCACCATTGCCGTCGCCTGATCCTGGCAAAATAAATCGGCTATATATTTGTAGGGACAATCTTTAATTAGTGTAGATTCGAATTAAATCAAAATACTAAATTAATTTTTTTGAAACCGAGAATGGAGGGTCCCCTTAAAAACGTGCCAAAGCTCCCCAAAAATACCGAGGCTTGAAGTTAACCCTATAAGGGGCGGCTTGCTTAAAAAATGGAGCAATATTATTAGTTTTTGGTAGGAGAATGAGAACTCAAAATATCAAATTTCTATCCCTACGATTGGAAATAAAAATATCTGTCTTTCTTGCTGGTTGGCTGATGCGAACGATTTCTGGAACGTATTATTAGATGTCTGTTGAAATTACGATAGAGGTCTCATCATTTACTATTGTATTATTGAAAATGAGTGATATCAGTCCACGTTTTGGTATAGCTCCCATATAACCACAGACCCCATATAATGGGCCCGTCATATTTTTTAACATAGGTCTCGCCAAAATATCGGTATTTTGTGGGTTTTATCCGTATTTTTCCATCGAAGATGCCTTTATTGGATATTCTAGGTTTTTGAGAGGTAGGAAATAATCATTGTTGCAGAAAATATTTGATATAGGTCCATGTTTTCCATATCAATGTTCTGCTAATTTTTGGCCGCATTTCCCCATCGAAGTGGTTGGGTTATCGTAGGATGGAAAATATATTTAAAGATTTTTTGATATATGTCCATGATTTGACATATGTAGCTGATCTATTACATAGTTCCCGTCCATTTTGAGAATTTTCAACGTTTTACCCATATTTTTCAACCGAAGTGGCTGTCATTTAGCATTCTAAGTTCTATGATGTTGGGAAACATCTTTAAATAACATTTTGAATGTAGATTCATGTTTTGACATAGTCCCTACATTATATAAAGGTACGGCATATTATTGATACGTTTTTGTTTTAGCCACATTTTCCTAACGAAGTGATTGTAATTCCACTGTCCGGGTTCTTGGAGATAGAGAAACATCTTGGTAGAAAATGTTTGATATCGGAGCATCTTTTGCCCTTATAGTACAATTTAGTGAGCATTAGTAGAAATTTACAATACTTTCTACATACCCTAATCCTAATCGAATTTTCAAAACTACCTACATAATACGACTATATATCAACACTACATATAGAAGTCTTATTTTTCAATTTCAAATTGTACCAACATGAGTATTTTTTAGTACTTTTCGTATACTTTTCGTTAGTACATTCTTAGAAAATCAACTCCTTATATAGATCCTACTACTCAGCTTTTGTTCGCATTCAAAATTTCATTCTATCCGTTCACATGCTATGGAATTCCAAATGTAGCACATTTTAGTACTTTTCGGGTACTTTTAATTTTCTTACACTTTATCAGTGACCCTCATTCAAAATATGAGAGCTCTATCGGTTCGCCAAAAACAAATGGTTCCATATTTAGTAGATTTTTACTATTTTTTGTGCTTCGGGCACTTTCGGGCTAAGAGTTATCCTCACCTCAAATTTTCAAGATTCCAACTTCCGCGGTTTCTTCTGGGCATTGATAAATCGTCAAGTCAGTCAATCACTTTACTCTTTTATTTTTGTAGAATGAATACATCATTACAGAATATTTCAATATAGACCCATGTTTAGCATACATTCGTCCCGCCCCCTTTTGAGGTGTTTTGAACTCCTTGCCGAGATTGTTCAATCTGTAATTTTCATATCCTTTAATTCGGAACTTCTCATATTCTCAGATGATAAAAATCCTTGTTTTGACTTGGCCCTAATGTACAAATCGAGGTTATAATAAGTTCGGATCGAAAGAATTTAACGACCTTTTTACAAGTTCTTATTTTTTAATTGTTAATTAATTATACAGGCAAAATGAAAACGAGTTAGCCACAGGGTTCTTTTTGAAAATACGCATAGAATCACTTTCTTGGTCGATTTAGGCATGTCCGTACGTCTGTCCATGTTAAATAAAGTGAAAATCGGTTCAGATTTAGATATAGCTGCCTTATATATTTTTTTTACGGTTTTATGTAAATGGGACACTAAAGTCCATATATATCATCGATTTGCACGAAATTTGGTGAGGCGTACTGAATGAAGTCTAGAATGATGTGTGCTAAGTTTTGTGAAAATCGGTTCAGATTTGGATATAGCTCCCATATATATTTTCGTCGGCCCTATATCTCCTTCAATTTGCACGAAATTTAGCATAGGGTATATTTATATTTTCTTCAATTTGTACAAAATTTGACATAGGATACTGAAGTGGGTCCGGAATAATGTGAGCTACGTTTCGTGAAAGTCGCTTCAGATTTAGATATTGCTCCCATATATAATTTCGTCGAATTTTATGTAAATTATGTACCAATGACCCTAAATATTTTTCGATTTGTACGAAATTTGGCATAGCGTTCTGAATTACGCTGTGTGTAAAGTTTCGTGAAAATCGGTTCCGATTTAGATATAGCTCCCATATATATCTTCGTCCGATTTTATGTAAATGGTTCTGAATTACGCTGTGTGTAAAGTTTCGTGAAAATCGGTTCCGATTTAGATATAGCTCCCATATATATCTTCGTCCGATTTTATGTAAATGGTGAATCAAAGTTGATAAATGTTTCGATTTGCGCGAAATTTTGCATAGCGTACTGATTTACGCTGTATGTTAAGTTTCGTGAAAATCGGTTCAGATTTAGATATAGCTTCCATATATATTTTCGTCCGATTTTATGTAAATGGTGAACCAAAGCCGCTATATATATTGTTCGATTTGCACGAAATTTGGCATAGCGTACTGATCGCTCCTGATTTGGATATAACTCTCATATATATTTTCGTCTGATTTTATGTAAATTATGTACCAAAGACCCTATATTTCCTTCAATTTGCACGAAATTTGGCATAGTGTACTGAGTTGAATCTAGAATGACGTTTGTTAAGTTCCGTGAAAATCAGTTCAGATTTAGATATAGCAGATTTATATATTTTTTCTTCCGATTATATGTAAATTGTGCACTCAAGGCCCAATGTTTGTCCGATTGGAACAATTTTGTATAATTTGAAAATGGAAATCTCCTGTTCTTAAAATTCTATAGGTCTTCCATATATAGAAAATTCTAGACTTCAATACATTTTGTAATAATTTATAGTCCATTGTAGTTGAAACTAAGTATTTCAAAATTGCATTCCCATTCAATTGTTTCCTCCAAAACACCATGTTTTGTTATTTTCTGCTAGTTCTCCAAACAAAATATTGTTTAGAAAAACAACAAAAAACTTAAAAATAAACATGTCATCCATGCATTTGACCCACTTTGAAATAATTCTAAACAATTAGCACGCTACCACACATCTATTTATTCTCCTATTTTATTTTTTTGTTTTTGGATGTTGAGAAGAGTCAGCAGCAACCATGTCATTAACACCAAAACAATGCCACTAATATTAAATAAAAA